GAAGTGAATCCCAGAACAACAGGTCAGAGGTAGAAGTTGGAAACACAGATGAGCTAGATAAATGTAAGGAAATATATGTATGCAATACGAATGTTAAACACGTGGAATGAACCTGAGCCACAGGTGGTGGAACCAAACACCATTCACTACCTTAAGACCAACTAAAGCAGAGAAGCGGGAAAGTAAGGGGTTACGAATGCACCAGATACAATACCTGTGAGGCAGGGCCGTAGAGCTATAGACATTGCTCCTGATACATGTAAAATACATGATACATGTGTTGGTAAAACATAAAAAGCTCCGAGTCAACTGCCTCTTTTTAGCGATGAAGACAGTTCTCAAATGTCAAATTTTATGTTGACAACTTTAATATCTTTACCCATTTACTTATTTTCTTAACACGACCTCTTGGACTCCCAGTCGTCCTAAAGCGCATCTGCTTAGTTGCTGTTGCTTTCACTTGACCTTTGACCTCCATGCAACATTCCAGCTTAGTTGTACACATTTTATAGTTGTATTTAAGCGTGTTTTTTTATCCTAGTGATGTGAGGAGGCTGTCATTTGTGGCAGTCATCGTACACATGTATACAGTTTTAATAATATTTGTTTAATTTGTTGGGAAATGATATATGAAAGACTCTACGAACAGTATCTTGTCGTATATGGCTGTTTAAAGGTAATATGATGGAATGTGTGTGTGTGGTGTTCACAAGTATGGCGCAGTCTCCTAACACCGTGGCGTTCTCACCACGGAATGTGAGCGGGTCCTTGAACTCACTCACACCCGGGTGTAAATATAGTCAGCTAACTGTGTTTTCTCTTTCTGTGACTTCTGACATGTGTGTATTTTATGCTACACACACACACACACACACACACACACACACACACACACACACACACACACACACACACACACACACACACACACACACACACACACACACGGTTGATCAACATGTGAAACGGAATACTTTGGCAAGCAGCAGCATTGAGGCAGGTTAAGGTAGCCTCGCGTGGGTTACTGGGCCATTCATACTGGTGGGTCCTCCAGTTGCCTCTCATCTTCACTAAGTTCCATCTGTACCGCCTTGTTTGCTAATGGTTAGGTTAAAGGGCGACACGTCCGTATATAATACATGTTCATGTAATGTTTATGCGTATGTTCCTAAACGCACCGAATGGTTAGTTTTCGCATGATTGGTTGATTAGTTTTCGGATTCAAATATTTGATTTATTGTATCGAGGGATTGAGTATTGCCGTCTATTGCATCGTAAAATACCGCTAAATGCTCTACCAATAACTAAGGCCTAGCCAGTTGCAGTGCGACAACTGTAATTATTTTAAATATTTGAAAGAGAAAGTCTGTTATTTTGTTTAACGGTCGACCGACCGTTGATTATTATATTTTTAAATTTCGCCAGGCCGCACAACCACCCAAATATGCAACGTAGACAGTTTCTTGTTGATCAGAGGAGTCTGGCCTGAGCCCTGACCATGATGTCATACACCGTGCAGCCTAACACTACTCTCTTGTAATATGTTTGGGGCAACAGTTGCCAATTTGGCACGCTTCATAAACAACAAGTTCCTTGTTGTCTAAAGCATCTGGCCTCAATATTTGCCCTGAAGCTTCCACGGGCTTGTAGTACAGTTGGCTTCGTTCTCGTCTCACAACAAGGGATCCCGGGTTCGATTGGACTGAATTGTTGAGCGCGTTTCTTTTTACCTAATGCCTCTGAACACCTAGAAATAGATTCCCAGGAGTTAGGCAACTTTTGATTTTGATTTCGAATGTTTCCGCCAGAGGCTGCTAAGTGGATTGTTCACCTGTTACTCCACCCTGTGAGCTGTAGCACTGTGTGTGGCCAGCCAGTGCACTAACCGATACACCATAGCTGATCACCACTTGGCTAGCCTGGGTTCAATTCTCTCATAGGGGAAGAGTATCTGTGTTTAATATAACTTGTGGTTTATGCAAGTGTGTGGTATATATGGGCTCGAGTTTTTTCAAGGAAATATGATTGAGATGAGAGAACGTATGTCTGATCTGTCACCATTAGCTGGTGTCTTTGGGGGGCTGCAGGCGTGGAATAGCCAACTGTCTCACAGCCTTTTTAAGGATCTGCTACAGTGTATCGCTTAGTGTACTGGCTGGCTACTTGGTTAGCCTGGGTTCAGGGGGGTATCAATGAATATATGGATCAGGGGTATTAGTTGGGTCATTGGATGCTGTGTCTGTATTGGTTCTGGGTCTTGAATACCCCCTGATCCATTTATTCATTGATATATTTAATACCCCCTTGTTATATCATTCATCCACCACCTCACACAAAGATTATATAATCCGATGTTAAACACGGTTAAACACTGTCTTTGAAAATGTAAGATGTACTTTGCGAAATGCATCCCCCAGGCTTCAGACTAAAATAAAGTGAAAAAATGAGCTTTGGAGAGTTAATTTTTCAACTTCAATCGACAGTGACGAAAAACGTAAGAAATATTGAGAAGATTCGTGTTAGAATCATTAATCTTACCCTTTCGGTCATTAACAAATATATATATATATATATATATATATATATATATATATATATATATATATATATATATATATAGTAGTAGTAGGCATCCATCAGTCTCAGGAGACGAGTTGCGCTCTGGTGTCGGCCTGGTCTGGAGTGGCCTCACCAGGGCGCAAATATATATATATATATATATATATATATATATATATATATATATATATATATATATATATATTTTTTTTTTTAAGTTATGAGGGTACCACCTCTGGTGCAAGTGTGGGGAGCCATAGCCTCGGAGAAGAAAATACAGAGTTATTCAGAGAAGACCTTGTGGATTCTCACTGAACACTTTAATATTTTCTTCTCCTACCACCGCCATTCTTTTGTATATATACATATATATTCTTTTTATTTAAACTGTTACAAAAAAGGAGTTACATATATGGTACAAAGATGATTATCATAAGTTGTCAAGTTCCTCCAGCTCCTCAGATGGCGGGCAGGAACCCTGAATGCAGTGGGCATTCTCCCCTCTGTATCGCCACGCTGAGGTGCTAGAAAAGGAAGCTGGTAGCTCTAGGGTCTCTTGTTGTTTCAATTAGCTTAGAATCCAGTTCCTTCAAAAAACTAGTGGTACCCCAGGCGCCGAGTTTCTCAGTAGCAATGGGGGCAAAATTGTAGTGGTGATCCAGTTCTCTGTACTTACAGGATTTGGCTGATTCACTGTGAGTGGCAGCGCCACCTGGTTGTGCAACACTGAAGTCAATGTAGGTGTTAGCCAGGGTTAATACGCACGTGTAGTCCCATACCAACTGCTTGCCACTCTTCCAGGGGTTCACTGTGATACCATCTTACCACCTAAATGTACAGGTGGTAAGAGCATCAGAGTTACGGGGCGTTAGGTAACGGGGCTCTCAACTGGGCATCCAGCTGTGGTGAGGCTCCTCTTGATGATGTCGTTAACTTCACTGTACCTCGAGTGCCATCCCCCTGTGCTTTGGCAGAGTAGGCCATGGTGACCGTATCTGTCAGCCTCCACCTCGCCGCAAATACACCGATATTTGGTGTAGATTGGGGCAGCAAGGCGGAGAGCCACAACAATTCGGAGGGCGTGTGGTGTGAGACGTGTGCCAGTTGCCGACATTGGGGTTGGTGACAGTAAATCCCCGACATGTGGGGCTGCTACTGCTGTGAGGCGAGCAATGTCATGTGTTGTTGCGGCACCCAGGCACTCTGCAGCAACTTGGTCTACAATGGGGCCATCCCAGCTGGATTGCTTGTGGGCTTTTGAGGATGGTGGTTGAGGTGATAGGCCTGCACGAGAGGCCCACTCAGTGGCACGGCGTGTAAAATTTGGATCGTGTATGCCTGCCAGCTGATGCAAGTAGGCTGGTAGAATTTCCTTCACAAGGTCGTCGGATGCCGATGAGGAGGACAGAAAGGCTGGTACAGCAATTTGTGTTGCTGTTCGAACTCCGAGGCCTCCTAGCCTTACGGGAAGAGAGGATTGTTTCCACTGTAGGTCATCAAGAGAGAGGTTAAGGGCTTTTTCTAGCGTTGATTTCAGTAACAGGTCATAATCACCTAGTTTTTGGCACCTGTACTCACTCACCTGTAGGATGGTTAACACTTCAGAAAGTAGGTTAACCAGGAGAGGGACAGGCCATCTGGTGATGAGGTAGAGTGCATCATGAGGGTTTGAAAAGGGTGAAGGGAGAGTGAAAACTGCAGGGGGGTTTGGACAAAATATGACCCATTGCCGTTTTCAGTAATTGGCATATTATCGGTCTAAAAAGTCGCAATTTGAAAATGAAAATAGGTGCAGAGAGTCAGAATTCGGCCCAAAAATTACGCTCAACAGTCAAATTTCCGACATTTCAGATATTTTGAAAACTGCAGGGGGGTTTGGGCAAAATATGACCCATCGCCGTTTTCAGTAATTGGCATATTTTCGGTCTAAAAAGTCGCAATTTGTAAATGAAAATAGGTACAGAGAGTCAGAATTCGGCTCAAAAATCACGTTTAGGAGTCAAATTTCCGACATTTCAGATATTTTGAAAACTGCAGGGGGGTTTGGGCAAAATATGACCCATCGCCGTTTTCAGTAATTGGCATATTTTCGGTATAAAAAGTCGTAATTTGAAAATGAAAATAGGTGCAGAGAGTCAGAATTCGGCTCAGAAATCACGCTCAGGAGTCAAATTTCCGACATTTCAGATATTTTGAAAACTGCAGGGGGGTTTGGGCAAAATATGACCCTTCGCCATTTTTATTATATGCGGCGCCGCATGGTTGAAGCCTACTAACTCCTCCCCATAAATTCAGTCTTAATTTCATGCGCATTTGACACACTCTTAATACATGGCAAAATATTTGATCGACAGTTATATCATAATCAGTATCAATAATATCACTATCATCATTTCCACATATAATCTCGACTGAATATGAAATGTTTTTCTTAATTTCAGTTTCTACGAGCACCCGAAACTGGCTGAAGACCTCATCAACACCTACACCAGTTCCTCACACATTCTCATCTCTTTCTCTGTAGGTAAGTCTACCTGGCCTCTGTGCCCAGTATCTCCTTAGCTCTGAGTGTCTGGGTCTCTTCTAACCTTTTCTCTTAGATTTAGATCTTTTAGAACTTTTTCTCTAAGGCCTAGGCCTCTCGGAACATTTTCTCTAGTTTGAGTCACTTCGAGTCTTTGCTCTTGGATCTGAATCTCTTGAAACCTTTTCTCTAGGGTCTGGGGTATCTTGGAATCGTTTTTTTAGGGTCTGGGGATATCCTGGAACTTTTCTCTAGGGTCTAAGTTTCTTGGAACATTTTCTCAAGGGTCTGGGTCTCTTGAAACCTTTTCTCTACTGTCTGGAGCCTTTAACGATCAGTCTTCGTGATTATTGTACAGATGGGCATGCTTAATAGTGCAGGGCCTACTGGCATTCTGATGTTTAGCTAGTTTGATAAATATGCAATAAGACGTGTAAATATGTCTGAAGAATGCTTTCTTGAGCGCGGGATATTTAAACCACTTTGAAAAAAGCATGAATAATGAATCGCTTCTAAGAAAGAAATTACAGTTTTATCAACACTAAACTTACTACCAATTGATAGAAAAGACGAATTGCTATATGTATAACGTATCGCAATGTTAAAGATGTTTTACATGTGTATTGCATGCATTGGCTTATTATACCCAGGGATATTTTTGTTTTTAATGGATTTACAAACTGCACACTCAGATGGCTGTATATAAAATATGTGTGAAGCTAAACAGGCCTAAAATCGCTTATCGTAAAGTGAGCTTGATAAACGTGAATTGCATGTGTCAATAAGCTTGTATATAGTTGTATCTGTTGATGGGGAGGGGTAGGTATAATGTAATTTTGAAGAAACACTTGATCTGCCTCTAACGTGCACTTGTGTTTCTCCTCCCTAAATATCTGGCAGAGAGGAAGACAAGATATTAGTACCTGGTGTCCTCTACCGCTACTCTCGTCTCACTGGTAATGGCGTTCTTATAATATCTTCTTAACCTACTTCACGCTTGCTTTGCATCAGTGTTTGTAATTGAGATATTGATGAGAGAATAAGATTTGTATGACCTCAGTATTTTCTCATAGATATATTATGTTTTTGGGATATTTTGTTTTTCCTGCTTAAATATTGATAGTGTGAGTTGCAGCCTAATTTGATAATCACTCCACTATTAGCTTAGTTTGTATTGAATGGAAATGTAATTATTACAGTAATAATCATGTACGGGTCTAGAGGTATAACCCAGGCTACGACTTGGTTGCATGTTAGTTTAGTATTGCTTGTGGTAGACGAGATATTGGTAATTATTACACTAGACTGACGCGTGTGCTGACTGGTAATGTTTACTGTAGAGGTTTCAGCCCATCATCCTCCTAAAATAATAGTACTAACTGTCCGGTGAAGAGTACCAATATGTAGAGATGCACCACCAACAAGTTGACGTTTTTCAATTTTTAATTTGGCCAAATTGGAAACTTTTTAAACGCGACAAAAATTTAAGACCTGACCTCTCTTAGAAATCCTAGGCCTAATACAACTAATACACGTTATCTTTAGTACATAATATAGTACATATAAGTGCTATGCTAGGCCTAAGAATGTTTAAGTTTGGTTATTAGCTTTATTTTTCCGGACTATGAAAATATAATTAGAAAAAGTGAACTTTTTGTTCCCATCTTCCTGCTGAGATAGTACTTATAGTAACGGTGTGGACCACCGTACATATATTGACGTAATGGATGATTACAAAGAAGACTTTGGTACTGCTGTATTTGAACAACCCGGAAAAGGTTCTGATTTACTAATAAAACCTAACCTAACCATCCTAGGTCTAATACACGCTATTTGAGGCCTAATATATTACATATGTGTGCTATACTAGGCCTACGAATATTTAATTTTGGTTTTAGCCTTATTTTTATCTACTATAGTGAATAGTACCAAATTTTACTATTTGTCTTATTACGTTAATACATGTACGATGGACAACATAGTTACAAAAAGTACTATCAATATAGGAGGATGGGTTGAGTGTGTATAGTATTGAGGTTCTCGTAGTACAGTTGGCTTCGTTTTCAACTCATAATCGGTAATCACGGGCTCGATTCCCGGGCCGAAGAGAAATGATTGGCCACGGCTTCTTTCACCTAATGGTCTGAAGTTTCGAGTGAAATTTAATGAAGGTTCAAGTGCTTGTGGATAGAAGATATTTGGGTAGAATGCAAAATATCAAAAACAAAATGAATAATAGTCACAATGCTGTTAGAGAAAACACAATGCTGACGTATTAGAAAAAAACCTGCTCTCGAAATATACTAATATGTATATATGTATGTAATATGTATATATGTAATTTATAATTCATAGTATTATGCTTTTGCTAATTTAAATTATACTTACTATATATATATCCGTCACAACATATGGAGGCATTTGGACCACACTCCATGTTGTGCAATGGTCGTAGCTCAAAGGCTCATCAAAACAATATTGTAATTGAGTATTTGATGCCGTTCGCTTTTGCGTGAAGGTATTTATCACTTTTGTGTGATATTTGACTATATTATATTTTGCATTTCATCTGCCTTTTTTTCTCTCTTTTGTCACTACAGGTGTTCCATTATAGAAGTAAGACCTATGGCTAGCTTAAATATAAAAATTAGAATTTTTCCAACAAATAATACTGTATAACAAATATAAAGGACATGTTAATGTAATTAGTGTACATTTTTATAAAAGTAAGAGTATTTAGTGATCACAGTAATATGTGAAACAAAGCTGAACATCACCAATTGTTGCATTAATCAACAGGTAAGAATAACAGGGTGACTTCATCATAGCTATACTGGTATAATACTAGGGGAACACATCAAATATATCCCAGTCAGGAGAAATGTGCCGTAAGCCCAAGTGGGTTCCCATTGTATATTAACGGTTGTGTCCATCACCCCAGGTTATTTTATACATGACTTCCTGGACATGGCTCTCTGTCACCGGAAGCGCTCGTCGTATGAGCTGATGGTTCATCACGCCTGTGTCATCTCCTGTTTTGGCCTGAGTGTGTGGAGTGCCATGTTCCTTGGGTAAGTTGTCTTGTGTCATATTTGAGTCTTCTCTCACTCTCTTCAGCCGTATTTGGCGCCTTGTTAGAAAAACATGTTATTTCTCTGGCTGCTTATGCCTCCAAAGTGTACAAAATGGTTATTATTATTATAATTACCAACAACTTTTGCTTTAACCTTTCCTTAAGACAGCTTAGGGAAGATAACTTAAAGGTACCAGAAGTTTGCCAATTCTTTATCTCGAGCTGTGACACATGCCCGAAACGCTCTGCTTACCGGTGTAGGACCACTCTGCCCTTCCACCCGAATGCTTGTGGGTCATACGTACAAACTTGGACTGGCTTCAGTATGGGGCTCCAGACTTTGTGATTTCAGGAGGAATCCGGTTGTATGACTTTTACAAGTCCTTCGATTGTCTAGTGGTTGAACTGGCAATGCCGGGTTCATTGGTTAGCGCCCACCAATAGTCCCAGTGGATTTTCTCATAATAATAATCTTCTTAAAGGGACCATCAAGACGTATTCCCTAAGCTGTCTCAGGCAAAGGTCAAAGCACAGTTTAAAGGAAATAAAAATTCTGTATACTTTGGAAGCGAAAACAATCAGAAAATGCTACTTACTACCCAGAATTTTGTTTAGAATATGTAATTAACGCGATTCTTTAACCTATTAATTATCTCCTGGGAATGGTTAACATTATCTGAATAATTGTATAAGTAAGCAATGAAGATGATTTAATTACCAGGTACGCCGTGGTGGCTCTCTTCGTGGAGGTGAACAGCATCTTCCTGCACGTGCGTCAGCTGCTCATCATAACTGGGGTCAGCAGAGAGGAGCCAAAGTATCGGCTCAACGCCATGCTCAACATCGCCACCTTTGTCGTATTCCGCATCGCTGTTCTGGGATGGATGACTCGCTGGATTGTTCTCCATAAGGACAACTTATCCTTGTCTGTGTATACGCTGGGAAGTGTGGGTAAGTGCTTCCAAACTTACTTATTATTATTAACAACTTTATTGACAAAATTAGTTACAATTTTGCCTAATCTGAGGATTTCAATTAAGTCCTATTAAAGTGAGGATAATGCTGGTATTCACTGTCACGCAGGACAGAGGGTCATACACAAGACAATAGGTCTAAACTGGCACATATATATATATATATCATGGTTACAATCAATGTTTTAATGTATGAATGAAAACAACTTTCTATTGTGCACTGCCACACTGATGGCTCCAAACTTACTACTACTACTAAAAAGGCATTGCGGGCTCACCATAGCCCGTGCTACTTGGAACTTTTTGCTCCAGGTAGCGAATCTTTAACAACAACAACATTACTACTACTACCTTACTTACAACCTTACTGACTACCTCTCTTACTCGTGTATTAAAGATTAGGCTGCATCAACGTTTCTAACACGTGCATTAAACTTTAGGCTGCAACTATTTTTCTTACTCTTTTAGTAAACCTTAAACTACATCTACCTTTCTTACTCAAGTAGTAAACAATTCACAACTTACAATAGAAGAAATAATTAATTAATTAAAAAAAAGAGTTATTTCATATCCTATTTGTGAATCATTTCTTATGTGTAAATATTGTTTTTTTGGATTGTACCAAATAATTCATTTTGATTTTATCGCACAGTATCTTTTAAGTATATTTTATATCATGGATTATAAACTATTTTACGATCTTTCAAAATTGTTTGATGCATTATGTCAGCAATTAGCTAAGATTTGCATCACTATTTCTCTGTTTATAATTTGCAACCCCTAGCTTGTTTGTTTACATGTTACAACATGTATTCTTGTGTATTCATGGGTGGAAATACATGTATAACTGTCATGAACATTAAACAGTACATGTATAGCTTGCAAGAACATTCAGGGGTACAGGTGCAACTTACCTGAATATTCTGTTATACAAGTACAACTTTCCTGAACATTCACAAAACTTGTACAACTTGCATGAAAAAGTGGTACATAATTCATAATAATTATAATAATTAATTGTGTCTATAGATACGTTCATAGTGTTTAATCTTCCTTTTCGGTGGAGTTTATTCCGACTACAGTAAATGTGTGTCTTCGTGATCAAATATTTATATTTGGCACCGTAAATATTCAAGTGACTTGCTCTTTATTATATCGTAATAAAACGCATTATATGTTTCCAGGACTGGCGATAATCATGCTGATGAACACTGTGCTCTTCTTCAGAATTTGCAACGTAGATTTCAGAAAAAGGAAATCCAAAGACTCAAACAAGGTGAGTTTATGCTTTTCCCAAGCTTATCACAAAGTCATGTTACCAAAATAACATACAATAGTTTATTAAATACAATTTCCTATTGTAATATGTTAATATCAGTAAATAATTTGAAATAAAAAAGGTCCTAAGTTATATTATTTAGAAAATGATTGGACTTTTAACACTTAAACGGTTCCAATCGCTATCTTCGATTTTGCACCTCATGCTTAAGTCACCGTATTAGGTAATGCAATTGATCCTTATGGATTAGATCCTTAAGGATCCTTAAGAATCCTCATGTATCCTTATAACCTTTTCTCATGTTCATTACAACGTAGGACTTTTAATTAGCTTAGCCGTTTAAGGATTAACTGCTTGGATCACCCTCATGTAAAGAGTCCACATGACTTGGTGCCTTCTTTTGATAATTACTTCACCAGCTGATGCATATTAAATGATTTAGTGTATATATCTTCCCAGCAGGGCTTGGCACAGACAAGAAAGCTTCAGGATAATGAAGATGTTAGTGTAGGGGGGTCAACAAGTAGTATAATATCCCCATCATCGTCTCTACTCCCTGGTACAACCAATCTCCATCTGAACTAGACTACTATTAGTACTTAGGTACTAGTTCAAGGTTGTTAATAGATATAGCTACTGCATATGCTTTTGGTCAGAATTAGGTTACTTCATTTTAATTTTGAGATGAAGTCAGACATCTGTACATATATTTTAAATAACATTAATTTATAATTCCATTATAAATATAATATTATATCATAATTAATTTTATTAATTTATAATTTTAGTAATCATGTGCATACTTAACACGTAAAAAAAGTTATAGCATGAAGGATTATATAATCCAAATATTGTTAATATTTTTTATGTATGAGATTAAATGTACAAGTACTGTACATGATAATGACAACATTCCCTTGAATGTGAGATTGATTTTTGACACTAGTAGCATAAGTACTGTATTTTTGCAACTGCCTTGAGAACACAAATATAGGTGGGGTCTTGACTCTAATATATGCCTCAGACACACCATCTCTCAAGAAGACGTGAATACTTCTTGTTACCTGTAATACTCTCATGAAATGTTTAGTGTGTTTATGCCATAACTGGTCCTGTGTGAAGTTTTATTTGTTATAGACTTAAAATACACCGATACCTTGATAGCTTTTTTAACTTGAAAATTTGTACAGCTAATTCAGTTTTTGGTGTAACGTTTATGAATTCTATTACTGTTGTCTAGGAAATGTTTTAAGTCAGGGTTAGTAGTAGGCATCCTTCAGTCTCGGGAGACTATGGAGTTGCGCCCTAGTTGTCAATCCTGGTGCACCGTCTGGTGTGACTGATGAGGCCAATCCGAGAGTGGCAGTCCATCCCACACCGAGCACAAAACCTTGGGTTAGTACTGACCATAATAGGATGGTTGGAGTATGCTTATTGAGCACGATTTTGGAATTTAACAGAAGAGGCTTTATGTTGTCTGAACACATAATTTATAATAGTTTTGATACAGTAGCAGTTTTTTTATACATAATGATGAGTTTGACAAGGTTTGCGGGTAATTAAGCCCCAGTAAATATTAAAGCATACAGTACATAATTTTTGAGAATAACATGATGTTGTTCATAAAGATATTTGCATGGCTACAAAATCTAGAGAAGATTGAAATGTTGACTGCATTAACTTTTTTATGATCTGAATTATTACCTCAGATAGGTTGGCTCCACATAGATTGTGCTTGCATAAAACCATAAGTCAACTGTACTTTAATTTTGTATCTCCTTTTGTAATATTTATAAGGAACAATTTTGTATTTTTTTATAGATAGATTTATGTGGCTTCAAACACATATTGGTAATTTGTAATAAAATGCCTCTAAAGTGTTTGGACCAAGCCTAAATCCAAGTAATAATAAGTACTGAATACATGCGCAAAATACATTTTCAACTTATGAAATTTTTTGCCTAAATTTGGCTGTTAGCTGTGATTTTGCAAGAATAAAATACTGTATGATCATGTTAATTTTGTTATGGTAATATTAATTTGTTATTATAAGATGTTGAACATTTATAAGTGCTACAGCTAAGGTGGCATTGGTTTAAAATAAATATAGATTTTACTCATGAAGAATAAGTGGAAAAGTGCTTGTTGTGTTATAATTTTAGTATGATATAATTAAAATATAACTTACCAGAATTTACCTGACTGCCACCATCTCTCTAGTGGCTTCGACGAGGACAAGAAGCTGATATAAAGACTAGATTTAAAATATACAGTATATGGTATATGCTTTTGTGTACATGTGTGTATAATTACCTCAATGTGATAAGGAAAGTGGATACAAGAGAAGAACTCATAGTGTCCTATCTTCCTTATGCTCTCTGTCATATAGTTTACTTCATTCCATCTGCCTACCACTCTCCACAAACTATTATTTTCATATGTTCTTTAAAGATTCATATTTTAAAAGCCTTACCAATTCTATTGATTCCCATTATAATTGAGTACATGATGATAACATCAGCACTCTCTTCCTTCTATGGAATAGTTTTAACACATATAGCACCTCCAACCTTGCATTGTGTCTTTTCTGTCATTCCACTTTTTCTGGCTTTTTAGTCTTTCCACTTTTTCTCTATTATTTATAGTTTTTATTAACATAGGGATGCCAAACAAAAACTACACACTCTTGTTAGTCTTATATATATGTGTGGCACTAATTTATAATTCATATAATTATAAGATTCATATATGAATGGTTCAATTCCTATAATCCATAATTATATGGGTATTTGGCATATACTTCTATTTGTGTGAATAGACACAGTAGTTGACTTGCACGTGCCATCAATCTTAATGGTCTTAAGATTTAAATTGGCACTTGCTATATTGTATTTTCATATTATATTTTTCATAAATCATCATATTGATGTGTCAGATGTTACAGTACATTGCATATACAGTAATTTGTTAAAATATAAATATTGTACAATACAGTATAAATAAAAGCAGAATACGGTATAGCTAAGTACTGTACAGTATTTATATACATACTGGTATAGTGTTTATAGTATATTGGTACAGTATACTGTAGTATAAATGTTGTATACATATTGGTATTGTATTTGTATTGTATACATACTGATATATTATTTATATTAGTTACATACTGATGTATTTATATTGTATACAGTACATAGATATAATATTTATATTGTATTTATATTGTATACATAATTTATATTATATTTATAATGTATAGTATTTATATTGCATGCTGTATATGCATTATATTGTATATACAGTATTTGTAACATACATAAAAAATGGTGAAATTATTCTGTACTGTATATTATTTAAATTATAACAGACAACAATTACAAAAAATATTAATGCCATGAAAAATAATTGTAAAGTGAAATACTTTATTGATTTTATCACTTATTCACCTTAATGTTTACAGTTCAACATTGTTAGCTAACATTTCTTAGGAATCATGACAGATCTAGTCAACACACTGCCCTGAATGTTATTTCTCTTCAGTGTTTTAAAACACAGCTGTACCTCCTGAATGACACTGTGAATACTGAACTTAAAAATGTCCAATGGATGAGTTCCAACAAACTTACCTTTAACATTGACAACACATTTTATATATTGTTTGGTAACAGATCACCAATCAAAGTAACCTTAGAATTAACAAGTCCCAAATAATGTGTATATTACACCATAAATTTCTCAAGAGTTCACATTCACAACATGCTGAACTTCCATTGCCATACTACAATACACAACAAAAAAAGTTTCAAACACAGTAGGCATTCTCTCCAAGATCAGATAGTATGTAGTTTGTTCTGCCTCTGTAGCACACTATTATTCACTTGTCTGTCCATATCGCACCTAAAATAGCTGTCCTTGGGGTTCTACAACCCAAAATTGCATTCGACCACTAATTACTGTACTCATCATTAATCAGCAATAAGAGCTATGACAAATTCCAGTCCCAGACAGCACTCATATCCTTTCTGGAAATCCTTAAACTTGATACTTAAAGTTAAGTATCGTCACTGTACATTTTTGCAAGTGTGCTCTACATCTACAAAACTCTGCACTGAAATGCTACTCCTGGCCTTCAGCACTTCCTCGAAGGCTGTAGCAGAACCCATGGGAATCACATGAGAAGCAAATATATTTTTGATATCAAAGAGTGCAACTTGACCAAAGCAAAAAGTGCTCTGCAAATCAAGGGTGTTAAACTGCGGAATGACTTCCCTAATGAAATTAAAAATTGTACTTCTCTCGTCCAGTTTAAACAGAGAAACTAACAACTACTTGTTCAGTACAAAGAAATAACATTAATGTGATGTATCAATGAGAAAATCACTGCATTAGAACCCCAGGTTGCATTGCCTTTCGAGTATGTCATGGCCGAGTTGGCTAGGGTGTATAATTGGGAGTACCCAGTGTGCAGGTTTGAATATTCATCATAGCTTCTACTGATTTTCTCTTTTTTAAGAACTAAGAAAACTAAGTACTGCCTAATGAACTCCATGTAACCTACCTTACCCCCAAAATGTCAACCTAAGTCTTGCTAGTTTCAAAAAAATATTGATTATTAGATATGATGTTTATTCAGGTAATGGTACATACATTGAAAATGAGTTACAAACATAATGTTATAGTTATAGATAGAGCTAGTACTATACACACAATGCCTGAAGCCACTAATATGCACAGCATTTTAGGCAAGTTGTGGGAAAAACTTAAGACTAAAACTTAATACTAATTGAGATTGATCAACTTTTATAACTGCTAATATCTGCCATGTATAAACTTGAAGAAAATAGTAGTATTCTGTTTATTTTGTTAAAATTACTTCTGCTGTTCCATCCATCATGTAATTGTTATTATTTTTTTTATTTTTTACCTTTTTCAATTCAATTTATGCTTTTGATGTCAATTAGTTTTAAGTTTTAGTCTAAGTGTTTTCCCACATCTTGCCCGAAACGCTGTGCGTACTAGGGGCTTCAGGCATAATATATACTAGCTCTATCTAGAAATCCAACATTGTTTGTACCTCATTTTGAATGTATGTACTTTTACCTGAACAAACATTATTATTATTGTTATTATTATTATTATAACTACTTTATTAACATTATGTAACCAATTTTCCTCACCACTTCTCATCTTTCATGTCAACCTGAGTTTTGCTGTTATTGTGAACTTTACTTATTAATTACTTTATATTTGCTGTTACTAAATACAGTTCTGCTCTTCCTATACTGTATATCATAAAGCATTGTATGTTATTTTTCGTATTCTTATCTACTTTTAAAAATTAGTAACTATATACATGTAAACTGTTAAAGCAGCTGCCATTTATAAGTGTCTTATGTTTAATTGTCAGTTATTTCAAATCTTTCAACAATTCAATAATTTTTCCCTATCTTTCTTAATATTAAGTATTCCCTATTTGCACTTGTTCATTTTCTTATATTTCTTTTTTATATAATGCCCTTCCTAAAAGCTGTATAGCATTTATTAAATGTCTTGAACGATGTACTGTATATCTTAGCTTGCTTCTTGTTAGTATTAAATGTCTACATCATCGAACCTTTAATTAAACAACCTAACTACATTATCTTAAGTTGTGCCTGAAACACAGTGTATTACTGGCTTGATGGATTGTACTGTACTTGTCTATGTATCTTCCTCTGTTTATAATATGTATGTACATTTGTGTAAATACATTTTTATTATTATTATTATTATTATAAATTAAGCAGGGTCTAAAACCTGAAACAAGTATGTATTCCTCTATGTCACTGCTACTCTTTCAACACACCTAATCTAACCCGGCCTAACCTAACAAAAATAGGAGATCAAATGTTATATATGGGATGCATTAGGTGTGCATTATAATTATCATGCTGGTACAGGCTTTAGACCTTACTGCTAGACTCCTTATAAGAATAATAATTATAGTATTATATAAAAAAATTACACAGGGTCTAATTAAAAATGTTCATAGTAGGTATTTTATATTTTTTTATAAAGCCAATAATCATGTGCAGCAAGTTGGGAAACCTTGTTTTTCAAGAGGTTAGTATTGATATTTCAAAGAAATCTGCTGCTCCTTCTAGACTTGATCTTTTATTGGGTTGTATCCATGTTCAGTCTTGAAAGATAATGCTTCTAAAAATAAAAATTAATAAGAGTTAGCTTAATTATGACATTCACTTGCAGTAGAATAATTATTTCTAGATATTCTATGACATACTATTATTTTATGGTTTAAAGTAAGCACAAGTGTCTTGTCCCTTTAAATAAACACCAATAATCTTGGCCTGAGAATTAAATTATGTTTTTTTTACCAATAGTTTTTACCTGAATTTACCCGAAGGCCACTAACACTAGTGGCCTTGACGAGAAGACGAAGCTAGCAGCTAGTTGAAGGCCCCCCCCTATTTACCTGGATGATCTTTTCTAGTTGAATTTCACAATTTAACAGTTTTGGTATTTATAGCTTCAGCGGGTAGGCGGTTCCATGTTTTTATAACCATGTGGATGAAAAAGATTCTCCTGTTCTCAGTCCTACATTGTGGCGTGTTGGAGCAACGGTTTCAAGCTCTTGTCTGTGTTACATCTGACGGGTCCGTAGAATTATCCAAATTTACCCAAATCCTGCTAGCATTACGTAAGTAATGAAGAGATATGGTTTATTTACTCACAATAATATTGGTCCTGAATGCAGAACATGATCCAACCTATGTTTACTCGGAAATAATCTAATTTCATAACGAAATTAGAAGTAAATGTGTAACATGTGACGCCATAGGAAGTCGACGATCCAAGCGACAATGCTGTGGAGCGGGAAATGACCTGAAAGACCCAGAGAATCTTTGGACCAGGAGCTGGCAAAACGAGCCCGATGCCTTCACTACATGACATTAAAGGGGCGAACCGCAAAAAAGGCCAGTATGAACCAAAAGTGAAACCACACTATCGCGAAATGTGGGGGGGGGGGATGTCTAGTGGCAAAGGGATTCATCCTGTTAGTGGCAGTTTATTGCGTATCTCATACTCATCCTGTGAGCGGTAGTTCACTGTGCAACCCGTACTCATCCTGTGAGCGGTAGTTCACTGTGCAACCCGTACTCATCCTGTGAGCGGTAGTTCACTGTGCAACCCGTATTCATCCTGTGAGCGGTAGTTCACTGTGCAACCCGTATTCATCCTGTGAGCGGTAGTTCACTGTGCAACCCGTATTCATCCTGTGAGCGGTAGTTCACTGTGCAACCCGTATTCATCCTGTGAGCGGTAGTTCACTGTGCAACCCGTATTCATCCTGTGAGCGGTAGTTCAGTGTGCAACCCGTACTCATCCCTCACATACAGGCCATCTATGTAACGAAGTATTTCCCTACTCACACCAATATTACCAATTATCCTTTAGTCATAGATCATTAATATTCACATTAATCTTCAATGTACAGGCCCTCCATATTGTCAACAGTTACCATGCACAGGCCATCAATACGGCTCACAGACCTCCACAAACAGGCTATATTTAATATTGGTCGAAAAAAATCGATTTACTTTTAGCCAACAAGCGGGAAACTAAACTTGAGAGGACTGTGACAGGTCCACAGAAACATTAATGTGTGTCGCAGTTGCTTTTAAGTTCAAGTATGTTTATTGAGAGAAGAAAGAAATACATCTCAAAAGGATAAAGTAGCTTAGGCTATTTCTACCGCTGCTCCCTCCAGACACGCAAATGATAACAGTTATCAAAGATGTTGTGTCTAGGGAACATATTTTTTGTGTACTTATTTTTTAAGGAAAACAGAATGAGTTATAGGAACTCTGTCCAAAGAAAATGTATGTAGGATGCAGGAGTTTTGTTTCGTGGAAGCACGAGTTGTAGAGGTGTTTTTGTCTAAGGAGCAAAGGTGTGTGATATAGGTGCTTTTTAGAGGTATAGAGACGGAGAGGGTGGTGGGAGGGTTGGCATGATGCCCTGTGCTAGTCGCTATACACGCGTAGCTCACAGTGCCAGTGCCAGACAGGTTGTCCCACTGCCTCGTCTGCTCTACTGATGCCAAGCTTCTCCATCCAGCCATGTTCAGGTACTGAAATGTGTTGAGTGAAACTTAATCAGTGCCCGTGTTGTGGAGAACTCTTGAATGCTCCTGCACAACGCTCAAGCGAGTGTTGTCTACACCACTGTGATGCTGTGTTGTGCAGTGCTCAATAGTTTTGAGAGGTCTACACATGTAAGTTTCGCTACGGATTTAAACTCTGGCGCTGGTATATTATGAGATAACAGGTATCGAGTCTCGGTGAAACTGGAGCACCTCACCAGCGTGGGGCGCTCGGGCGCACTACTGAACAATAGTGAACGAAAATACTTTTTTTTCTAAGTCCGCCATGAGCCGTGTTGGCCAGCGTGTCCCGCAACCTTAACACTAATAATGATAATAATACGCAAAGAAATCACATTAACGTGATGTATTCAGTGGTAATAATACTCATAATCACTTATGTACAAATATTTCAGAGGGTTTGATTACAATTTTAACACAATAGTCAATATTTATATGTTTTGTTTTATAAAGCCACTTAACACGCTACACTGAGAGGTACTTGGTTAATCCCACAAATACGCTGTTATGAACTGTAACTGATTTCATCAGTTTGTTTATAGTGCACCACCACACCCATTCTGTGAGTAGTAGTGCACCCCATACCCATCTTGTGAGTGACAATGCACCCCATACTCATCCTGATAGTGGCAGTGCGCTCCCACACCCATCCTGTGAGTGATAGTGCAACCCCATATCTATCCTGTGAGTAGCAATGCACTCATACCCATATTGTGATCGGAAGTGGAAAAAGTTAAGAGAGACATAGTAATTATCAAAAGAAGGCAGCAAGCCGTGTAGCCTGTGTAGCAGAGGCATATCATGGGCTCAGGAAATTTACCCCAAATTCATTTAGGGAAGCAAGTCCCTAGTCAAGCATTGATGTGCTTGTTACAGAACATGTTAACATATGTATCAACAGTCTATTCACAGTTCGTCATACTAACTGTACGTCAATGATACGTCACACTTTTCTAAAGCATTTTTTCAGTATGGTGATAACTGCTGGAAACAAGATATATATCCCTAAGAATACCGCCTCGGTAGACGTATCATTCTATCCAAAAATATATATGATTAAGGTTCTTTCGTAAGCACATTCATGTAAAAAGGGCGATGCGTAAGGTGAGAGCGGGGAGTGGTGCCTGGCTTGTTATGTTAGGCCCGGGTAAGGCCAGGCATGTGGGTGTAAACACAGCCCACCTCACACCCACACTCACCTGCTGTCCCTCACACCTACACTCACCTGCCGTCCCTCACACTCACCTGCCATCCCTCACACCCCCTCCGTCTACTACAAACCCGTCCTCGACGCAAGTCCATTACATCCAGCGATCGACCCCCACAGACGCATTCATAAATTTTCACATGCGGTTCATTCAAAACAGGAATGTTTTCAAATATAAAGTAATATTATAATATATTAGCATATTGTGCATATATAACCATAGGTTAGGTGTTTAGGTTCTGTTGACGATTATTTGTATTTGTAGTACGTGGGTGAAGCATTTATAGCGTTGTGGTTCGAACAAAATTTGTCATTGAAGCAATTGTTCCGGAAGTGTTCGGACGAAATCAGTTGTGAGTCGTGTGTAAACCGTTTTTCATTCATAAACGGGGTTTGGCGGGTGCATGGAATCACTTTAATTACATTTAATTTATGACAATTAATTTATATATGAGAACAAAGCAATTTTTAATACACAGTATGTTAAAATTCATGAATGCGTCTGGGGAGGACGGCCGCTGGTTTAAACAGCCTGGTGTGAGAACGGGTTGCAGAGTTAGTGAAAACTCAGCAAGCTTGCTGAATAAATATTTCCACTCGCATTTAAGACAAATAAGCTACCAGTTTACAGTCGTTTAAACCAATTTCAAGGAGAGTTTTTGCTTATTTTCTTTCGTTTTCGTTTTACTTTTGTTTATAGGAAGATGACGAGACGTGCTCCTCGTGTGTTTATATATATATATGCCTTGACCTGCAGCGTTTTACGGGCTATTCATGCCTGTGCCATCTTTTGGGTGACTTAATCTTTATCAATCAATCAATGTGGCTTTTCTCCTCCCCCCAGGCTACAGGCAGCGGCAGTGCTGGTTATGGCGGCGCTGCTGACGGAGGGAATCACGCCGCCGTCACGAAGGTTTCACATCGGGGGCGTCCTGCACAACAACCACACACAGGAACACTTCACCAGGGCTCTGAGGGTGTGTGCTGAGCCCTCTGTTCACCAAGCTGGCATTCGGGAGTGAGGCAACTGTTGTGGGTTGCATCCTGAGGAATGTTTGTTGTTGGTCTAGTTGGAGGGGGGGATTTTCGAGAAACCTAACAAGTTTTCTGTCCCCCAACATTGGGAAACCAATTAAGATAAACACCATATTATGTCTAACAGTGATCGCCAAGGGCTGGCTAAGTACTGGATGGGTGATTTCACAAGTATCCCTTACATTTGAGTACCTGGATACGCCTAATAGAATTCCTGTCCTCAATAATAATATACAATATTATACATGTATTAACAATTATACATTCATTAGTATAAAGAATGTACATCTTAGAAGTGTCCACAGCAAGGCTGAGGGAATCCAGACCTTAAAAGGTCAAATGTGACATATATAAGGAGCAATATTTTCAAGCTCAACAAGCCACAATGTAGGACAGAAAACAAAGAGATGCTGTTTCACTCATAGTTATAAACCCGTGGAACCCGTAAATGCCAACACATTACTAAAACACAGCAAGAATGTTCTTAAACCAGATTGTTAGACTCATATGGCAAACAATATAGGATAAGGTAATCTAACTTTCAACCTGTCAACGTTTCAACCTGTTTTCAGGGAAGAGGTACCCCTGGAGGCAATCACGTCAAACCACTATGTAATTAGTGTTATTATCTACTCTATATCCATGGATTGGTTAGGCTAGGTTTCGTTACATTTGGTTTCGTGATTGTGGTGAATTATTCTCAAACGTGAAATCTGAAACTCAAAAACTATTTGAGTATCACCCTAGAATCTTATTTACAGAAAATCAAATTCTTCAGACCGTTTCAAAAGCATATCTTCCGCAAAAATACATCGTGACGACGCATACAGGATGCCAGATGAACATCTGTGCACTAATGAAATTAGTTTACTACCTAATTTAAGTAAATTTAATATAATACTGCACATTTGTCCGGATAAAACGTTTATCAACAACGTGTATCGCTACCGCTGTTTTCGCACTCTTCAGGCCAGAAAGAACGAATAATATAATTATATCAAAACATACTCTACCCATACTTTTCACACTGCATTCTGAAGCATTATGTATAACTAGCACCGTCACATTCTTGCAGCAGCCATCACTTCAGCCAGCACTTCTCATACTAGCGAAACCAATCACGTTAATACTTTATTTGTGCATAACATCCACCCATAAATTTTCAAAGATGTTTATTTGCTTCATAATTATTTTTCATCACAGTATTCTTCCATTTATATATGAAATATTTATATTGTCTTTTTCCACTAGCCTCCTTGTTTGACTATCTAATTTCTTTCCAAAATATCTTACAGTTGTCTGAAACTTTTTGCTCCAAATATGGAAGGGTGGTTATAATCAATGATTAAGACTGTGCCACCAATGTGATCTCGCTCCATAGGCTTCCTTATATACTTGAGAAAGGAAACTGGAAACTTCCTTTACTCAGAAATTAAGTATCATCAGCACGAGGTTAACTCATGAACGCATAACGGAACGGAAACCCTGTCTCATATTGTCTAAATGGAATTGTTAAGTTTACAGTCCTCGATCTATATAATAGAATGTCTGGGTTTTAAGATTTGATTCTCAACTCAAAAATTTTCAAATCTCAGATAATTTGATTCTCAACTTTCCCTTTATGCCAAATACGATTGTAATTATAAATATATGAACATATATTTGTTCAATGCAAAATTTTATTGCTGATAATATTATTTTCTTAGAGAATAAATTTTGACGGAGTGTCGGTTGCGGAGCAGACGACGCTGTACGACGTGACTACTGTCCTGCGCGGGAGCCCTATTACCGCCGCCCTTCAGGTCTGCCAGGCCCTTATCTCTCAGGCTGTAAGTATATACTGCATTGATATGTTACTCCCAGACAAACCTCACTCTACTTTTCATACACATTCATGAAAATATAAGATATTGTATTGTTTACCTTGAGCCTCTGTAACCCTTTCTACCACCACCCACAAGATGGGTGCATAATATATGAACTAAACCAACCTTCCTGAATTTATTTGAACACCTTCAGGTGTACGGGGTGGTGGTGTCTAGTCCCCCTGGCGGATCCGTCACCACAGCTGCCGTGTCCTACACCTGCGGGTTCTACCACATCCCCGTCATCTGCACCCACACCAGGGACTCTGCCTTCTCCAACAAGGTGAGTCTCGGATCTGACGTATTGCCACAGCTGGTGAAAATATTGGGCATGCTAAATACTGTATTTACCATCGGTCACCATCGCAAGAGGTGGGCACAATCACCAGCACATAACCAGGATGGTAATAACATTAACCTCATATGTTTTCAGAACATCCATGTGTCGCTGTTGAGGACGGTGCCGCCATATAGTCACCAGGCGGACGTGTGGGTGCGCCTCCTGAAGAACCTCCAGTACCGCCAGGTTATTCTCCTTCACTCCTCTGACACGGACGGCCGTGCTCTCTACACCCGCTTCCAGAGCCTCGCTCAGCACCGCCATGACGAAAAGGGCATCAAGGTAACCCACCACACCATATACAGTACTGAGGCATCACACCCTGCTTGGCTAGGCTAGTTTACGGTACACCAAGGGCGTAGATTACATGACATGTGCATGGGATAAAAGTTTACCTGAAGGCTATTATTTTTAGGGTTCATTTGTACCTTGTTATTAGTAATCGGTGTCTTGTGGAATTTCTCTCCATCTTCCATTGGTGGAAAAACATTTACTGTTGTCTATCCTTTGTCTATTCTATTCTAAAAAATAGACCATGATTCACACCAACAGTTTCAAGCTCAACAAGCCATTAACAAGCCTCAACAAGCTCAACAAGTACATTTGTGGCTTGTTGAGCTTGAAACTGTTGGTGTGAATCATGGTCTATTTTTTAAGAAATTTACTGGATTAACGTTTTAACGTGACCAATGTCTTGTCTGAATGAGACCTATCCTTCCGTGACTGTTTATTTAGTTATTTCTTGTTATACTGTGCAAAAGCCTTTTCCAATATCAATATCCATGATTGGATACAATATTCCGGCTGGGGACGCAATAAGGATCTGTGCAAATGGATATCTACATTATTTTTATCGAGGTTGAAGTTCATTTCCTTGAAGATAAAGGTTCGTTTGATTTTTCTTAGTAATTATTCTTTTATTTCTTAACCGTAGCTCCTTAATGCTGAGAATGTTTAAATGACTTGTGGACTATTACTCCCATCACGTGTTTTTATTTTCAGATTTTCTGCAGTTGTCGGTAGCTGTGACGTGTATTGCTATCGCCATGAAAGATCTTGAACTTTTCTAAACTCAAAAGTTTTTTCCAGTCTTTTGATTGGAAAGATTGGAAAGATTGTTTTGTAATTTTAAACATATATGTTTCGCCGACAACTTTCCCGTATGTCTGTGTATCATATGCAAGTTTGGTGATGGGAGCCTGTGACGTTATCAGTGTCAATAATATATATTACAAAAAAAAGGTTGCCTTGGAAATAAATCGTTATAGCACTACTCACAATGCTTTCCCAATGTAATTTAATTTCATTTCATTCGACATTTTTTCTGCATTTTAACCATTTTTTTCCACAACATTATTTAACCAGTGGTTTTATGATTGAACATCAAGACTAGCTAGGCTGCTCTAAATTTTGTTTTATGATCACACCGCGATCATTATATGTAACAAGGAACGGGTACTGTAACGTTCCAGTTTCTACTCATAAATTAGTATGACATAATAATAATAAACAATTCCTCGTTACAGTTGGTATCTGTAATAGAGTTCGCACCCGGTAAGGAGTCCTTCACCGAGGAACTGATCAGCATCCGTCAGGAGCTGGTCAAAGTTATCCTGCTGTACGCAAAGTGAGTAGTAGCCTAGCAACACCTAAATGTCGTCGGCATTGGTTTGTTCTGTTCGGTCATGATCTGATGGGTTAAACCAAACAAACAATAAACGGGAAATAGACAAATTTATTTTAATAGACGGAAACAGATTCACCGTGCACTTGATGTTTTTTAACATTGGGTTGAGTGTATAATTGTTATCGCTAAATTAGAGTGTTAGTTACGGTTATAATAGCATTTAATCAGTTATTATTAGACTTGTTGTCTCTCAAGTTCAAGTATGTTTATTGAGACAAGAAAATACATCTCAAATGAATAGAGTAGCTTAGGCTATTTCTACCCCCTTGCCCTCTTTCCACTTACTACTAGGGAGCCTGACGCGGAGAGGATCTTTAAGAGCGCAGCCTCTCTCAACCTGACAGAGGCCGGGTACGTGTGGCTGGTGACTGAAGAGGCCCTCCAAGCCCACCACGTCCCCGTCGGCGCCCTGGGCCTCCGGCTTAGTCACGCCGATGACTACGAGGCCCATATCACCGACAGTCTGTAAGTAGAACGTCGATGTTGGAGTTGATTTAGGGGCGTATCGACCTTGCTGACGCCCCGTATCATATTTATCTTCGTATTCATAGTTCATGGAAATACCAGTCCTAGGTTTTGTGTGTGTAAAAGAGCTTTACGATGTTATTTCTTTCCCCCGAGGCGCGTGATGTCGCTGGCGCTGCGACGGCTGCACGAAACCCAGGAGGTGATCCCGGAGCCGCCGGTCACCTGCGACGCTGAGGGCGGCTGGGACCACACCGGCTCCACTCTCTTCAGGTCACACAACACTAACGCTTACAAAACTCTGCTTGCACGTATGGAGTTTGCCATGATAATGAACGCCATCAAGAACATTTGTGTAAATTATATTGTGATTAGAAAAATGATGTTTTTTTGTCTTCAACTATATACTCTATTCTTTGTAATTATTATTATTATTATTATTTTCTCCTCATCATTACCTAACCATACCTCCGCCCTTCCCTCATGGCCGTCTTTGATGAAACAATCATCATCAGCTGAGGATAAGTTTTTATTAGGCTTTAAAATCAAGATCTACCTTACCTCGAGGTTACCTTGAGATGGTTTTGGGGCTTAGCGTCCCCGCGGCCCCGTTCCTCAACCAGGCCTCCTGTTTGAGAGGAGGCTACTGTTGAGGAACGGCTACTGCCTTGGCTATTGTTTCAACAGGTTGTCGTCTACTAGCGTAACGTTGCTCCCTCTCTTCCTCCAGACTGATGCAGGAGCAGGTACTTATTGACGGACACACAGGTAAGGTGGCCTTTGACGTCAACGGGGATCGAACCCATGCTGATTACTCCCTCCTTAACGTCCAGGACCAACACCAGGACCACCTCGTCTTCAGGAACCTTCAACACGTCGGAGAGTTCTCCTACGACAAGGTGAGACAAGCTGTTCAGTTGAAGTAAGGAAAGGAGAGAGATGTTATTGCATGCATGTGTATAGATGGTGACTGTTCTTGTTGCCAGTGGGTAGATGGCGACTGTTGTTGGTTAGTAAGCAGAGAATGACACTGTTTAGCTATTACTGGCTAATGAAAAGATGATGGTGCTGTTATTGTTATTGATAGTGTTGCAATAACACTGAATGCTGAGAAGATGAGGGTGCTCGATGATGTCAACATTGTTATTCTTGTAACTGCAAGCGTAGGAGGTTATTATGACACTGTCTTATAGGTCCATGAAGAGATGATGTGGTTGTTGTTGCAGGCTAGTGACCAGATGACGCTGGAGGTGAACATGTCGATGATAGTGTGGCCAGGAGGCTCGTCCGTCGCCCCGCCTGGGTACTCCCTTCCCACACACCTCAATGTAAGTCACCTTATAGCACGGGCTATAGTGAGCCCGTAGTGGACTTACCTGGCACAGGAGCGGGGCTGTAACTGTTCACACCTTGATGTGTTCTCCTCTCTCTTTTCCCCTCTTTATTGCTTCCTCCGCCGATTACCTGTTTCTCTCATAACATCTTGTGGGTGCATCAAAATGGTTGTTTTCAAAAGTTGTACGTGAGGTGCTCAAGGTTGCTACCACTCACAAGCACAACTAGGTGAGTACTCATATGAAACAGACGTTATTAGCCTTCGGTCAAAAAAAATCGATCTGTTACTTTGCAATTAAATACTAATAAATACAATCAATTAAACACTAGCCTACTAATATCTGGATCAATTAAACAATCAATTAAATACTAGCTCAATAAATACATTTAAAGAAAATAGACTGAGTATACAATTCCACTCATCAAAAGTTCACAAGAAACCACCACAAAGTTGACTTCTTCTAAACCATATGTTCCCTGTTAGCTCTAAACTCTTAAGTAATCCTGTGTAATCACCATCGTAATTACCTCTTAGCTTCCTCACCCTCTCCTTACGACTAACTCTTCGCTCTTCAGGTGATGACCATCCAGGAGACGCCCTTCGTGTACGCTGAGGCCATCAGTTCAGAGGATGAGTGTGTAGCCTCTGATGAAGAGCTTTGTCCGCGCCTCAACACCACCACCGGAGGCAAGTTACGTCAGGCCAGGACAAGGGAGACAAGCCTCCACTGGAGGCAAGCCGTACGGAATAGGCAAGGGCAAGGAAAGGGGGCCATGCTGAAGGCAAACAGCGCGGGTTAAGCGAGGGGGAACGGTAGTCACCAAATCCTACACGTCAGGCAAGGGAGCCACGCAAAGTGGGCAAACCGCTGGTATAAGGTGAAGTATACATGAAGCATAGAGACATCACCGGAGGCAACCGCACAGATCAGGCAAAAGAAGGAAAGGAAAGCCGCTGCCAGAGGCCCCACGTGTGAGGGAAGGAGCTGGGGACGGGGAGTCGCCTCCAGGGCAAGCTGCGTGATGGGACGGGAGCCACAACTGGAAAAATTGTGTACAAATTGAATAAGACTAAAGCATCCACCGCCCTAGGCATGCTGTAGAGGTCAGGCGAAGCGAGTGGAATCAGACTAGTTCACTGTTGGCCAGACTAGGCGAGGGAAGCCAAGCACTGCAGCTAATTTAAGGCGAGGAAATGGGAGTCAAAAATAAAAGCCAAAACACCTGGGATAGTCCTTGGGGATATAATGTGTGGATCAGTTGTTTGTCCCCACTGTGATGAAAACTATTCTGGCATTGATACTGCGTCAATATGTTGTTATACCCCACAGAGTCTAAGATGTGGTAGTTTGGGCACTGTAAAACTGCTGTTCTTCCTCACAGAGATGGAGAAGATGTGTTGCTGGGGGTACTGTATAGACCTCTTGCACACCCTCACTGCCAGGAATGGCTTCACGTTCAACCTCACCCTCTCCCCAGACGGCCTGTACGGCGAGCGCAGGGAGAACCAAGAAGGTAATGAGCCAGTACAGGAGACAGGATGGCGAGAGAGAACTAGTAAAGCAAGGGAGGGCCAGGAAGGTAAGGTAGAATAAGTAAAGTGAGGAGGGCAATGAAGGTAAGGGGGTGGGGAGTAAAAAAAGGTAAAAGCTACTAAAACGAGGGGTAGGGGGATATTTAGGAAGGGGCGACAGAATCAATAGAGTAAGAAGGGGCCAGGAAGAACCAGTAAAGTCAGCACTGCTTTACTAAGCGAGCAGCAGGCAATAGCTTCAGCGAGCTGGAAGAGAAGGTACATGTTGGAGCCTAATACCACTCAGTCTACAGACTGTATAATACAACACAAGCGGGCGAGCGGGGGAGTCAACACCCCCACATGACGTGACCTGACATAACCTTGCAGGAAAGAAGGAGTGGAACGGGATGATTGGGCAGCTGGTGAACCAGAGTGCGGGCGTCGACATGATCATGGCGCCGCTCACCATCAATCCCGAGCGCTCCCAGGCCCTGCACTTCACCAAGCCCTTCAAGTACCACGGGATCACCATTCTCATTAAGAGGGTAAGACAAGGCGTCTCTCGCCTTCTGACTTTAGTTTGTTTTTTCCTTAACTTTGTCGCAGTATAATGTAAAGGTTTCAGACTCGAGTAGTTGTTTTACAAGCCTGTCTCTACCAGTGTGGAATACCAATACCTGTCACTACCACTGGAACAGAAAACAAGATTTTAAGAATTCTACACATGTGCCTGATAGTTATTGCTTCAGTGCCTGAACGGCTTTGCTGATTTGAATGGAAATTAAATCACTGTTGATAAGATATTGGCTCCGAGCTGAAGAACAGCTTGAGTGAGGATAGTGATTATAGTTCTGTAGTTCTTAGTGGCTAATGTATACAGTTAATTGAAATATGTCATATACATTTTCAGTAAGGTGAACTCCCTGGGGTCACATTGAGACCAAAGCTGTTCAGATTATAGGCCTATCTGGTTTATTAATATTTTGATCCTTTTGTCATTGTCCAGTTCATATGTGGGGTTAAAATTCTTATTTGAACCATAATTTGAGATCTTAGAGGAAATTCCCCTGGATATTTTTGCACCGAAGCTGCAAGGGAAATTTATCTGAAGCATTTGTAGATCATTTGGAACCTTCAGTAAAGATAAAGCAGGGAAGAGTAAGCACAGAGCTGCATCTGTTTTGAGAAATGTTGTCTCGTACGCGGCTACTCATATGATCTCATTTGCAGACGAGGAGTCACAATAACGTGGCTGAAATATGATGACCAAACCACACACTAGAAAGTGAAGGGACGACGACATTTCGGTCCGTCCTGGACCATTCACAATCGACTTGAGAATGGTCCAAAACGGACCGAAACGTCGTCGTCCCTTCACTTTCTAGTGTGTGGTTTGGTCATATGATCTCACTTGACCCCTGCGTGTGGAGCCAGACGCCCGTGGTGCCGGCCCTCGTGTCCATCCTGCAGCCCTTCCACGGGACCCTGTGGCTCCTCCTGTTGGTCACCGTCCACGTCATTGCTGTCGTCATCTGGCTCCTGGACCGTCTCAGCCCCGTCTACAAGTAAGTCAGTGGTGAAGGAGGAGGAGGAGGCGCGGAACGGGAAGAGGTACGGGGAGCAGTAAAAGGAATGGGCGCGGAGAGGGAACTAAGGTTAACCCGAGAAAGAGAGTCGTATAGTAACGTGAGGAAGGGGTTGAATGTAATATTTTTTAAATTAATATGCAGAAAAGATTTTAATTTAACTTGAGGGTTTGTATCGTGCTGGCTGATGAGTGTTGGTACAGCCAGTGTATTGAGTGTTGTATTGTGAGTGCATCTTGTATGAGTGCGTTGGCATGAGTGTTAGGATGAGAGTACGTACGAAGGCTGGGGGTGAGAGTACATGGTGTGTGTTAGTGCAGAGTGCATGTGGTTTGAGTCTCAGCGTGTGCATGTGGGGAGAGTGAGAGAGTGCTTGCTGAGTGTTACTTTGTGTGATAATCCTCCCTGCTTGCCCTATAGGCTGGAGGGCGCCGAGACGGACTCCCTGGTACTCTCTGAGTCCTTCTGGTTCTCCTGGTCTGTCATCCTCAACAGCGGACTCACAGAGGGTATGTACTCTAACAACAATGTCCATGTGCAGTCACACACACACAGAGGAAGCAGCCCGTAACAGCTGTCTAACTCCCAGGTATATATTTACTGCTAGGTAAAAGGGGGCATCAGAAAGAAACTCTGCCCATCTGTTTCCGCCAGGGCCGGGAATCTAATCCCGGTTCACAGGACTACGTATCCAGTGTGCTATCCACTCAACCACCAGCGCCTCCATGTGTGTGTGTGTGTGTATAAAATATAATCCGTAACATATTTTTTGACTAACATCAGTTGCTGTGTGGAAACCCTCGTATGGTTTCTAGAAAGGTCGCTCTTCTACCGATATTTTATTAAAATTTTCCATTATCAAGTGGCATCAATCTCGATGTATCAAATATGAGCTAAGTTGTTGCGCTGGGCTGCGCAGAAGCCATTAACCTGGTGGGACACCTTGGAGTTCTTGCAAAGCTTCAAGTAGTACTAGGTATCTCAAGCTTCATCTTACAGCTGATTAGAGACTACCTTCAAGAATAGAATCTAAGGCTTGTCCTCAATGGAGCAGGATCTGAAAGCCTCTCAGTTGGCTCCGGGTGGTGAAATATCTGCTTCAGAGATCTACTACGCCTCATTCCTGAAGCTCTGAAGTCTAATTTTAGGCTATGCTGACGTGTTGTCTAATCTTTACATATATAAGAGAAGATAAGCCAACTGTTATCAGGGTCAATAATTATAATCGCGGAAGGAATACAAGCAATAATCATAACTAGACTACTTGACATTGAATATGTGGTTGGCAAGCACATATGCGGAAAAAATACTGAGCTCAGTGATGTAGTTGACAAAAGAGAAGCGCTGAGGTGTAGAAATTCTATACCACAGCCAGAGTGTAATGAGTGAAACCCTCATTTGACTTCAGTGGAAACCTAAAGATCCCCCGATGATTCAGTTGGATCCCAGGCTGCATTACTTGCGCAACATATCGCGGTTTAGTGGTTTAGGGTGTGTGCTTGACGGTACCTAGTGTACAAGTTCGAATTCTTCATATGACTCTTCCTTTTCTCATTAATAAATCACAATACGTGTGTGGGGTAGCGTGATGCCTCTGCTAGAGAGGGTAAAAGTGTTGGTGTGTGTCTCCTTCAGGTACCCCGAGGTGTGTGAGTGGGCGGGTGCTGGGCATAGTGTGGGGAGGCTTCGCCATGATCATGGTGGCCTCCTATACGGCCAACCTCGCCGCCTTCCTCGTCCTCGACGCCCCCTCCACCACCATCACAGGCATCAGCGACGCCAGGGTGAGACGCTACATCCAGAGACAGATAAGGAGAGACTCAGAGACATACATGGGACAGATGACTATACATAAATTAATACGAATTGTGAATTATTATTACATGCCGTAAAATGACATAGAGTGAAGCATAGAGAGAGACTTCTCTCATGCCTCACTCTCCACCACTACTGAAACTTCTACCTGTCTCTTCACTACAGCTGAGAAACCCTGTAGAGAACTTCACGTTCGCGACAGTGAGGGGGTCGGCGGTGGACATGTTCTTCCGGCGGAAGACGGAGTGGTCCAACATGTACCGCGTCATGGAGGCCCATAACTACCCCTCTGTTGACCTCGCCCTCCACGCCCTCCGTCAAGGGTCAGTGTGCCACTGGTCTCACTTTGACGGGGGTTGGGAGATGTCCACAATAACCAGTCGACGTAGCTTCATCCGGTTATTATGATTATCTGAATTTCTCACGAAAGTTTCCCATACGTCTCACAGGAGCCTGCAGGCGTTCATATGGGAGAGCTCACGCCTGGAGTACGAAGCCTCACGGGACTGTAGCTTGGTCACCGTCGGGGAGCTCTTCGGCCGCTCAGGTTACGGGGTCGGCCTGCAGAAGGGGTCACCCTGGGCAGACAAGATCACTCTAGATATCCTCGATCTTCACGAGAGTGAGTTTTTGTTAAGATGAAGTCGATATATCAACAGGTCTTGTATTGAGCATGTTGTTCATTTAAATTATGCTTTAAAATATTTCATATTGTCACATTATTCATCTTTTAGCAGCACATCGGTTTGTTTTTGTTAATCAAATGGTGTAGTCGTGTTATTAGTCTGTCATCTGACTTCGTCGTGTTGGTGATGCATGTCCCAGGAGGCTACATGGAAGACCTGGACAAAGTGTGGATCTGGAACGATGGAGAGATATGCGACGAGGACCATAAAGACGCGGACTTCTCAAAGCGTCTAGGACTGAAGAACCTGGAGGGTATATTCATCATGATCGCCGGCGGCATCTTCAGCGGCACCATCCTTGTTCTGGGCGAGATTATATACGACCGCTGCAAGAGTCGGGAGCCGCAGAGCCAGAGCGAGCAGGACCTCGCAGAGCACCCAACAACACCTGAAGACGACGCTACTGCTGGTGGCGACCTTGAGAATACAGGGGCGCTAGAGGTAGGTAGTGAGGGGAAGCTCTCATTACTGACCAAGCTATTCATGGCATTGTCATTATTATAATTTTCCAAATAAATACTGGTATTCACAGCTTTGTTATTGTAATACAAGATGTTGTTTTAAACAAACAATTTATAATGAAATTTAGGGTGATAAATGTAATTCCCACGTAGGCCTACGTTCGTACTATATATCTCAATATCTTCGCTTACACTTATCATTTATTATAATTCGAAAAACTAATAGAGGTATTACTTGGCAGAGCAGAGTCACGACCCAAGCAGAAGTGCATCCTATGGGAGACAAGAGCTGCTCGTCAACTGGGGACCATCACTGTCACCCACTAGGGGACAATTGCTACCACCCCGAGGAGGACCAACACGATCACCCCATGAAGAACAACTGCTATGACTCCACAGGGGAACAGACATGCCGCCTCACAAGGAACCAGGGCTTCCATCCCACGGGGGAACAGTGCTGCCTCTCCACAGCTCTCGTGTCAACAGGTCAGCACTTAATTTCAGTAATAGTTCATGTGTTACTATGTTAAATGTTTAAGTAAATATGTGAATATTGCATAAATAACATTTCATTGGTGGGGAATGTTTCTTTTAATAGTGACAACTTTGCTTCAGCCAACAGCGGCATATCGTCTACTGCCAACACATTCAACACTATGACCCAGAGACCCCGGCGTCAGTGTTCCACTGAGGACCAAACTCTCCTATTGGACGTTGAGGATAGGCTTAAGAACAGTCCCCACATCCCCGAGGAGTGGAAGACTCGCACGCCGCTCCACTGGTTTCAGCACTACCTGGAGATCCTCAAGAAGGACGCCGAAGCTGACGGCGCAACGAGCTCGCCCGAAGGTCTTGCTGTCATGGAGGATTTTGTGGAGTTCGTGAGACTGAGCGGGATCAGAGACTTCTCTGAACTATATATGGACGAAAGCATTCCTGGTCAACCACTACAAGAAACTGAGGGCAGATATCAGGCTCGTGAAGATGCCGTACGCCATCCAGGTAGTGATGATGTTCACTTTAGGCAAGCTGAAGAAATTACTAATGGTGTAACACCCTTCGCAGCCCACGAACGTCAGGTGAATCTACAGTCACGGACATTGATGACGAAAACTCTTTGTGAAAAGTTGCCAGATGTGGTAGACAAATGTAGTGAGAGAGAAGTGAGTTTACGTGAAAACGTAGACGTTGATTTGTACATTGATGGTACAGACGGCGGTGGTCAAGATGTTTCCGGAGTTGCAGTAAGCGACGCTCACCAGAAACCACTGAAGCACAAAGTTTCCAAACAAGTAACAATATAAACAAAATCTCTAGACTTTCCCCCCCTTCCACCACCCCACAAAAAACGAATATTTGCATGTTCATGACATATAAACAAACTTGTGCTAGCTAAATGAAGTGGGATTGTGGGATTGTGCTAGTATATGAGTGGGATTGGGTGGTTATAGAATAGGAGCTGCCTCGTATGGGCCAATAGGCCTTCTGCAGTTACCTTTGTTCTTATGTTCTTATGTTCTTATGTTCTTAAATTGTAATTAATGGAGCAATATATGTATATTTTACCGGAATTTCTCTGAGGTCACCATCTCTCTCTCTCTAGTGGCCTCGAGGGAAACAGGTTGTCTGATGTCCCCACTTTTCTTGATGACCAAGTTTGTCATATATTACTTAGATAAAGAGACAGGTCCTTTATAATGTTGTGTGGTCATTGGTGGCTCACTTGAAGTGCTCAAGGTACACAAAGTCATATAGGTTTTTATATTCAAAATATTTACCTGAGGGCCACTAATTCTAGTGGCCTCGGCGAGGACAGGAAGCCGGCGGCTTGTCAAAGGGGCCCCCACATGTAACAAATATACATACAAAAATAGTGTGTTTTATTATATCCTAAACCACGAGGCTGCCCCAGCGATGCCTGGCTATCCCAGAGATGCCTGGCTATCCCAGAGATGCCTGGTTGTCCCAGAGATGCCTGGCTATCCCAGAGATGCCTGGCTATCCCAGAGATGCCTGGCTATCCCAGAGATGCCTGGTTGTCCCGTAGATGCCTGATTGTCCCATAGATGCCTGACTACCCCAGAAGTGATTGGCTGCCCCCCAGATGGTTATCGCTGCCCGAGAGATGGCTACGGCTGCCCCCAGATGGCTGGCTGCCCTAGAGTGGAAGCACAAGGACAATGCAGTTAAGAAGATAAAAATATTATTATGAGATCAAAAGTTGCTGATAACCTCAACAGAGAGGACGAGTTTTATAAATATTGAGGCTTAAATTACAAAAATTAAAACTTCATAAAGATCACGATATTGATGGGGTCCTTAAATATAATTATTCAACGTATTGGTCCAGACCACTTTTTTTAAAGGGTCAGATGTAGCACAAATAAGGACCAATGGTTTCAAGCTCATCAAGCCATATTCTAGGGCAGAAAGCAGGAGCTGATTTTTCACCTATTAGGCCATAAACCCCATGGAACTACTTATACCTGCCGAAGTGGTCAATGCCAAAACACTGCTGCAATTCAAATTCAAGCGCGATAAAATCAGAACAAATGGGAGGAGAGATACCTTTGACAAGCCGCCGGCTTCCTGTTCTCGTCGAGATCACTAGTTATAGTGGCCCCTCAGGTAAAATACTGTTCACCTAGTAAATAAATAAACAGGCACTACTGTAGGTAGTTGTTGTTGTTGATTTAGGGGCGACGACGATCGTGGGATCGGATGCGCACCTGTGTACCCGTTAAGGGTGAATCGCGAAGCCTGGAAAGGTGGAACGCCAAGCCAAATCGCAAAACGAGTGAAGCAAATCACTAGAAACTAATATACCATACGGCAAATAAACGCACAGTCAGGCAGATGATTGGGGAGCCCCAGGAGTCCCTCAGGGGTGACAAGCACCGGCCCCGCCCCACACAGAGAACACCAGGTAGCAAAACCAAAACTCTGCCCCCAACTAAAACGCAAAAAGTCATCCAGCGTCCCCCGGCAGAGCAGAAGCCAGCCGCCCACCACAACTGAGGGCACACCAGGAGCCCACGAAGACCCGCCAACTCCCAAGTTCAAGTTCAAGTGTGTTTATTGAGATAAGCAATAAATACATCTCAAAGGGATAGAGTAGCTATATCTACCCCCCTCCGCCAACCCCCGGCACCTCTCGGCCAAGCCGGCCCCCGAACACCGTCACCCCGCCGGGAGAACCAGCCAGTACACGTAAAAAAAAAAAAATCTATCAACAATCCTGTGACCCAAGGCGATATGTGCGCCAGGCGTCGAACAATCGGACCGCTGAAAAGGGATGCCAAACGGCAGTTCCAAAGCCAAAACGCGAAAACAAGACGTGATCAAGCGGAGCCGCTCGGCCTCAAGGTTGAACCAGGAGTCTACTGTAGGTAGACTGTTGTTGCTTGCATCCTGGGGAAGGTCAGGCATTGATCTAAGATGACCTCAATGATCCAGACTCATTAACCCTGACAATTGAAAACTATCGTTGCAAATTCTCACTGGCTCTAATGGTCGAACCGCTATTTATACTTGTTAACAGTTGAGCAAAATGGCTCTGTATACCAACTATTTTTAGATAATTTTTTTAACCCTTTTGTGTTTGAAAATATTTAAATAAAAAGTTATAAATAAATAAAAATCGAAGGAAAATTAAAATGATAAAATTTTCCAGCAAAAAATATTAGGTATGCTGTCTCTATTTTAAGTGTTCGATTCCACCTTTGTTTTATTTTTTAGGTGCTCTCATAAAATGCATATTATAGTATAAACGAATACTATGAAATAATTCATTTATAATCATTTGAAATTTTATATGCTAACAAAATTAATTTAAGGTAATTTTATATCTGTATTGTAGTCTAAAATGAATATAGCATAACATGAGCAAGGGATTCGGACACAGTATTGCCAGATTGGGTTACAAGTAGCGAATTGGGCTACTTTTGAGAGCCCCGCACTCCCAAATTTTGAATTTCGCTACTTGCTAGTTTTTGGGCTAGTTTAAAAACAAGATGGGCTAATTTGGCCGATTAATGTTAAGAAACTTAATGATGATTATTTATGGTCAGATGCAACACAAACAAGCACCCCGCGATAGCAGCCACAGACCTGGGGCCAGATTCACGAAAGCACTTACGCAAACACTTACGGACCTGAACATCTTTTTTCAATCTTTGGCGGCTTTGTTTCCAATTATTAAACAGTTAATGAGTTCCGAAGAACCAGGAGGCTGTTTATAACAATAATAACAGTTGAATGGGAAGTTTTCATGCTTGTAAACTGTTTAATAAATGCAACCAAAGCTGTCAAAGATTGAGGAAAGATGTACACGTTCGTAAGTACTTGCGTAAGTGTTTTCGTGAATCTGGCCCCTTGAGGTTACCTCGGTTACAGACTGACGATTCAAATGCTAGCACAGCACGCAGAATATCCTTTCACGACCAAAGATCACATTTACCCCCCCCAAAAAATCTTCCACTTACGGGCTATTCATGCCCGTGAGTAAATTTAGGGAAACCATGGAACCACCTTCCCGACGAAGCCGTAAATGATAAAACATTGCTCGATAAAATCACCAGGGTACATAGGGGACGTTATGTTATTAAGGTTAGGCTGCATTGGGCTCGGTTGGATTAGATTGGTTTGATTTGGGTTACGTTAGGTTGGATTAAGCTAGGTTAGTCAGGTTTCAAAATTCAAAATTCCACTACGCCACGAAGCAGCCTCTGTGGCGTAGTGGTAAAACACGCGCCTGGCTCTTCGGCAGCACTTTGACCTGGATTCGTATCCTGGCCGTATCATATTCAGATCTATAAACTACTTTAGAAAGGCCTATAATGCATATTAATATTAATTTACACACTCCTGGCGCTATACGCTAGGAATTTCAATATGGCGTTCAAATAATTTTAGGCAGGGGGTCTCTGGGTCGGTTGGTCGCTACGGGTCATCGACCACGACCACGACCCCGCCAGTCGTCAGGAAGCAGCGGCGGCGTGAGCATCGTCGTTCCCCCTCTAGGTAAGGCTGATAATTTTTTATTTTTTTTTTCTAATATATCTAAGCAGTTGGGAGGTACGCATGAATATATAGTCTACCTCCACCTACAATGCATTATACATTTGTTCGCTATTATAACACTGAGTTTTAGTAATGTCTCCGAGAGTAATTTTTTCATTTTTTTTGTTAATCCGGGTTGTGTAGTATTCAAATGTTTGTATTCCAATAATGCTAAATAGTCTGTCCTCTCTCGGATTTTGTGGAAGATTTTTTTTTTTTTAGATATATACAAGAGTTGTTACATTCTTGTACAGCCACTAGTACGCGTAGCGTTTCGGGCAGGTCCCTGGAATACGATCCCCGCCGCGAAGAATCCTTGTTACAACCAAGTACACATTTTACTGTTGAGTTAAACAGACGCTACAGTTAAGGATTTGCGCCCAGTAAATCCTCCTCGGCTAGGATACGAATCCATTTTGAGGATTATGATTTGCCAACATTATATGGGTAGGATATTATGTAGAAGACACTTTCCCAGAGTGTTAAACTGCCCCGTCGTCAGGCTAGGCTCGTTAACGAGGCGGTCGACCCCCCCCCCCCCCCCCCACCAACCCCACCACCCGAAGACGCATTTATTATCGACTTTCATGTACTGTGTATTAAAAAAAGATTCGTTCATGCTAGGCTTGGGGGTTACACAACTGGTCGGGGTCCGGTTACACAACTGGTCGGGCTTCGGTTACAAAACTGGTCGGGCTCCGGTTACAAAACTGGTCGGGCTCCGGGGGTGTTACTGGGGCTTCGGGTTGTGCATGGTCGGGCTTCGGGTTGTGCATGGTCGGGCTTCGGGTTGTGCATAGTCGGGCTTCGGGTTGTGCATAGTCGGGCTTCGGTTCATGCATGGTTGTGATGCAGAGGTTGTTTGGTTCGTTCATGCTAGGTTTGCGGTTATACAACTGGTCGGGGTCCGGTTACACAACTAGTGGGGCTTCGGTTACACAACTGGTCGGGCTCCGGTTAAATAACTGGTCGGGCTCCGGTTACATAACTGGTCGGGCTCCGGTTATCTTAACTGGTCGGGCTCCGGGGGTGTCACTGGGGCTTAGGGTTGTGCATGATCGGGCTTCGGTTCGTGCATGGTTGTGCTCCAGAGGTTGTTTGGTTCGTTCCTGCTCGGTTTGTGGTTACACAACTGGTCGGGCTTCGGGTTGTGCATGGTCGGGCTTCGGGTTGTGCATGGTCGGGCTTCGGGTTGTGCATAGTCGGGCTTCGGTTCATGCATGGTTGTGATGCAGAGGTTGTTTGGTTCGTTCATGCTAGGTTTGCGGTTACACAACTGGTCGGGGTCCGGTTACACAACTAGTGGGGCTTCGGTTACACAACTGGTCGGGCTCCGGTTAAATAACTGGTCGGGCTCCGGTTACATAACTGGTCGGGCTCCGGTTATCTTAACTGGTCGGGCTCCGGGGGTGTCACTGGGGCTTAGGGTTGTGCATGATCGGGCTTCGGTTCGTGCATGGTTGTGCTCCAGAGGTTGTTTGGTTCGTTCCTGCTCGGTTTGTGGTTACACAACTGGTCGGGCTTCGGGTTGTGCATGGTTGGGCTTCGGGTTGTGCATGGTCGGGCTTCGGGTTGTGCATGGTCGGGCTTCGGGTTGTGCATAGTCGGGCTTCGGGTTGTGCATAGTCGGGCTTCGGTTCATGCATGGTTGTGATGCAGAGGTTGTTTGGTTCGTTCATGCTAGGTTTGCGGTTACACAACTGGTCGGGGTCCGGTTACACAACTAGTGGGGCCTCGGTTACACAACTGGTCGGGCTCCGGTTAAATAACTGGTCGGGCTCCGGTTACATAACTGGTCGGGCTCCGGTTATCTTAACTGGTCGGGCTCCGGGGGTGTCACTGGGGCTTAGGGTTGTGCATGATCGGGCTTCGGTTCGTGCATGGTTGTGCTCCAGAGGTTGTTTGGTTCGTTCCTGCTCGGTTTGTGGTTACACAACTGGTCGGGCTTCGGGTTGTGCATGGTCGGGCTTCGGGTTGTGCATGGTCGGGCTTCGGGTTGTGCATAGTCGGGCTTCGGTTCATGCATGTTTGTGATGCAGAGGTTGTTTGGTTCGTTCATGCTAGGTTTGCGGTTACACAACTGGTCGGGGTCCGGTTACACAACTAGTGGGGCTTCGGTTACACAACTGGTCGGGCTCCGGTTAAATAACTGGTCGGGCTCCGGTTACATAACTGGTCGGGCTCCGGTTATCTTAACTGGTCGGGCTCCGGGGGTGTCACTGGGGCTTAGGGTTGTGCATGATCGGGCTTCGGTTCGTGCATGGTTGTGCTCCAGAGGTTGTTTGGTTCGTTCCTGCTCGGTTTGTGGTTACACAACTGGTCGGGCTTCGGGTTGTGCATGGTCGGGCTTCGGGTTGTGCATAGTCGGGCTTCGGTTCATGCATGGTTGTGATGCAGAGGTTGTTTGGTTCGTTCATGCTAGGTTTGCGGTTGCACAACTGGTCGGGGTCCGGTTACACAACTGGTCGGGCTTCGGTTACACAACTGGTCGGGCTCCGGTTAAATAACTGGTCGGGCTCCGGTTATCATAACTGGTCGGGCTCCGGTTATCATAACTGGTCGGGCTCCGGGGGTGTCACTGGGGCTTAGGGTTGTGCATGGTCGGGCTTCGGTTCATGCATGGTTGTGATCCAGAGGTTGTTTGGTTCGTTCATGCTAGGTTTGCGGTTACACAACTGGTCGGGGTCCGGTTACACAACTTGTGGGGCTTCGGTTACACAACTGGTCGGGCTCCGGTTATCTTAACTGGTCGGGCTCCGGTTATCTTAACTGGTCGGGCTCCGGGGGTGTCACTGGGGCTTAGGGTTGTGCATGATCGGGCTTCGGTTCGTGCATGGTTGTGCTCCAGGGGTTGTGTGTTAGTGCCTCATGTTTCTTTGCTAGATCATCAGGTTGTTTCTTGACTATGACTAATTGCATGTTTATTTTCTAGGGCTTCATTGTTGCATTTTTGCAAGAATTCCAGGTTTCTTTTTGTGTATAGGGCTCAATTGTTTGTTTGCTTTGGCTCCAAAGTTAGTTGTTAAGGCAAGGGTGGGGGGGGGGGTGTTGTTAGGGCTAAGGAAGGGTTTGTTTGGTAGAGCTTGGGAGGGAGTTTGGTTAGGCTCTGGGGCTGTTTGTTTGGCTTGGTGTGGGTTTGATGAGGTTGTTTGCATGCTAGGCTTGCGGTTACACAACTGGTTGGGGTTCGGTTACACATCTGGTGAGGCTCCGGTTCCAGAACTGGTCAGGCTTTGGTTACACAAGTGGTCGGGCTCTGGTTACAAAACTGGTTAGGCTTCGTGGGTTGTGATCCAAAGGTTGTTTGGGTATTATTATTATTTTGTTTAATATATATATATTTATATATTAAACAAACAATTAACATCGTGCAGTGTACCTGTGCATCAAAATATATTACTTTGCAACCTGTATAAGTCACTAAAAAAAACAATTATGCTACTCTTATGACAAATTCGCTACTTGTAGCGCGTCAGGTCGCTACTTTCAGCAATGTGTAGCTGGTAACTCTGTCCGGACACAACATTCCCCGGGAGGTAAATAAACACTCCAGAAGTTCATAAGTTGTTTGTCAAGAAGTCATGAAATAAGTGCTTTTTCCGCCACGTTGAAGATATTTGTAGCATGAAAGAAAGACTGTTTCCTGTGGTATTTTGTTGAAATATGTGAAGAAGCTTGATCATTGCTGGTTTATGGCAGAGTTGGCTGAGTTTCTTAGTATTTTGAACTAACGAGTATGTTATATTGTGTTATTAAGATCAATAGTTATTGATGTTATATCAAATTAAGTTTTCAACATAATTATGGTCTTGTATTTAAGTTTCTGATAATATTCAACACGGCTCTGGTTTGAGATTCATCTGAGTTTGCCTGAATTTACCTGAGGGCCATCGTCTCACTAGTGGCCTCAAGGAGGACAGGATGTTGCTGGCTTTTAAAGGTCCACCTCCCACCCCCATGATTTTTATACAGCTATATTTTGAATTGTGTCTCAGAGAGACTGCAGGGCCCGCATTAGGTCAGGATGATTTCCCCATGTACAAGAATGTAACAACTCTTGTATATATCTCAAAAAAATAAATTGCAATTCTTTTGACCATGTCGTAACTCGGTCGATTTAGGCAGCGTCTGGGATCCTCTCGGACGTAGGTTCAAACCCTCGTCACGGTCCTTGTGGATTTGTTCGCTAATACATTCTTGTTCATATTATCTTACTTTATACTGTATCCAAATGGTATAGTGCCCCATAGGTCTGTATTCAACTTATGTACAACTCTTAGATTAAATGTTGCTCAGTAATGGTCCTAGTGCTTGGTATTTGAGTAAAGACTCTAATCATACTTTAGGTAGGTATTGTATAAGGTCCATTATGCAGACAGTTCTCAGATTATCTCTTATAAAGTGTTGTACATTCTATGATATGATTCACTCTAATGATATGCAAGACAGTAATAGCACTGACTACTATTTTTACAGAGCATGGAAAAAAATGCTTGAGTCAGTAGATAATTGTCATCCACATCATCAGTGTTGATGCAATATCTATAAATTCTTCTATAAAAATTGAATCTAATATTAAAAATATCTTCTTCACTATACACTAGTACAGTATCTTGAATCTTCTATAAAAAAATAATAATGTACCAGGACAGGAATGCATGGGCACATTCTTAATCAGCACTAACAATAATTTTTTGTGTTTTTCAGATTATATGAAGTGGCAGTATGTTAGTTCCAGTATTTACACTGAATCTCAGCCAGAAGATTCTACCAGGACGAGTATGCATTGGGAAATATGATGGCGTCCATAGTTGCCTTACTGCATCAACTACTGCAGATAAGGTAACAAATATAAGAGTTTGTTCACCACAATTTTACACTTAAGGTAACTAGATATTCATGTCTTTGTATGATGATAAGTATTGTATAAGGTCCATTATGCAGACAGTTCTCAGATTATCTCTTATAAAGTGTTGTACATTCTATGATATGATTCACTCTAATGATATGCCAGACAGTAATAGCACTGACTACTATTTTTACAGAGCATGGAAAAAAATGCTTGAGTCAGTAGATAATTGTCATCCACATCATCAGTATTGGTGCAATATCTATAAATTCTTCTATAAAAATTGAATCTAATATTAAAAATATCTTTTTCACTATACACTAGTACAGTATCTTGAATCTTCTATAAAAAAATAATAATGTACCAGGACAGGAATGCATGGGCACATTCTTAATCAGTATTAACAATAATTTTTTGTGCTTTTCAGATTATATGAAGTGGCAGTATGTTAGTTCCAGTATTTACACTGAATCTCAGCCAGAAGATTCTACCAGGACGAGTATGCATAGGGAAATATGATGGCGTCCATAGTTGCCTTACTGCATCAACTACTGCAGATAAGGTAACAAATATAAGAGTTTGTTCACCACAACTTTACACTTAAGGTAACTAGATATTCATGTCCTTGTATGATGATAATTTCTGGGGGGAGCCCCGTCGGCTCCCCGGAGCTTTACCGGCTGATATGCTAATGTCAGACTTTGGCATCAGTCATGTGTATGGAGTTCTAGGGCCTACCGGGGACCACGAGCCAGAACCTGGCCCCCTCAGAGAGGCAAGGGGAGCAATGGCCTATAGAAACCCCCGTGTGGTTGGAAGCATTCTATGTCTGCCATCGACCGGGTCAAGCATCCAGAAAGGTAAGCATTCCAAAACAAACCCCTATTCTGGTGAAAATTGCTACCTAAGCCGAACTAGTGAATAGAACTCTTCAACAGAAAACACGGAAACTAGTATGACGTCATACGTCACCGCGCCGCTGTCTGCGCAGCTCCCCCCTCCCCGGGAGGGGGAAGGGGGAGCCCCAGACCTCCCACGCCGGCTATCCACCCATCAGTTCATCGGCAGACGTTCCATCTCCTTGTGCCGCCTGGGTTTCGGTGGTCGCGCCCGAGATCTTCTCGCGGCTCCGCCTTTTTCCTGGGCTCGGGGGGGCCTTGTCGGGGCTGCTTATGTTCTGCCTCGTGGTCTCGCCTCCGGTTGGTGGTCGGGTGGCTTCGTGGTAGGTGTCCCACCTGCGTGCTTTCTTGGCGGCAGTATGGGGTATTTTGGCGGTCCTTCCTTTTCCTGTCCCTTCTTCGGTGGGTCCTTCTTGTTGGCTTGGTTTACTCTCGGCTTGGTTTTCTAGTGGGGGTTGGGGGCCGTCGTCTTGCCACATACTGTCGCCTCTTTCGTGCGGCGCAGGCGGAGCCGCTTCAGCTTGCTTTCGGTCTTGGTGTTGCTTCTGCACCGTTAGTCAGCTGTCTTGTGCGTCATTTCACCTCCGGCCTGTTCGTGCGCCGCTTGCACCATCCTGGTCTCTGGTCAGCGTGCTCTGTCTTCTCCTCGGTTGGTAGTGCCCCTTCGGTTCCGGTGTGTTTTTTCGTCGGCTCTTTCCTTTGGGCCTTTGCCTCTGGGGGTCGGTTCGCTGTGTTTTCTTGCTCCTTCGGTTTTAGCGTTTTGGTTGTTTGATGGCAGCAGTCTCCATCTTTTCTGGCGCGGGGTGGGGCTGCTGCATTCTGGAGGGGTCCAGGGTTTGTTGGTGCTTTGTTGGTCGGGCCGGGGGTGTGTCGTTTTTGTGTTCAGTGGCGGCCCTCTGCTGTTGTTTGCGTGCCACGGCGTTTGGGTCCGGAGCGCGTTTTGCGTTGATCCGGTTCTGTTCTTCCCGGTTCGCGGGTGATGGTGTCCCGGGTGGTCAGCCGTGTTCTTGCGGCTAAGCTGCCTGTGTTCTTCCCTCATGCCTGTGGCGTTCGTGGCTTCGCTGCTCTCGCTGCCGTCTGGGCGACGTGGCCTTGCAGTCTTTCGGGCATGGATTTTTGGTGTTCGTGCAGGGGCCTTGCTGCTCGTGGTTCTCGTGTTGTTCCCGGGATTTTCGGGGCTGTGGCGCCTTGGGTTGGCGTTTGCTGCCGGTTGTCTCGCCTCCTTGGGGGGTGCGTGGTGTCCGCCTCCCGGTTTTGTCCCTTTGACCTTCCTCTGTGGGTAGTTAGCTCCGGGGAGCCGACGGGGCTCCCCCCAGAAAACCAGCGTTGAATGTAATGAAACGCCATTTTCTGGGTGAGACCCGGAGGCTCCCCAGCAACCCTCCCTCCCTCCGGTCGGCGTTTTTCGCGTGTTTTGACATCCAGCCTCAGTTTTTTGTTACATAATTTTGTTTTATTACTTGTATATAGTAAGATTTAAATACATTTTGCAGGTGTTCATTCACAACTCTCATCAGCGACTTGGTTTAGAAGGGGGTCGTATGTCTCTCAGCCAAAGTAGTGCCGAGGTATCCCTTCTCAACATTAATCAGACAGTATCTGCACTCACAGCTGGTGGATTGATCAAATCCAAGCATGGTGATATCCTCGTTGTGGGAACTCCAACTAATGTTTTGGCTTATGATGTTCAGAATAATTCAGATGTTTTTTACAAAGATGTAAGTTTTTGTTTTATTTTGTATTGGAAAATATTTTTTGTTGCATTTCTAAAATATAATGAGCAATATTCTTAATTCAGCAAGTCATCAGTTTAATTTTAAACAGAAATTTCTGGGTTTGGAGACCTGCATTAACCACTGCACTGCGCAAAGCGCCTTTAGGCGCTCAGAGAGTTGTGCTTTTTGTTTTTTAATTTGGCTATATTTTAATGTTTTTTAATGTTTTCATTACTATTTGTGTTTTGAAATGGAAATATTTGACTTTGGAAACATTTTGACATTAAATTTACCTGAACATTTGTAAAAATAACAAAAATATGCCCTTGTCAATTGCACCAAGACGTTTTTGCCGAAAATAGGTGAGCAGTGCAAGGGTTAAAGGAAAACATGATATGAAATGTACTTTATAGTATCCAACTAATATAATCTCAGATTGAGCACATTACTTTATAAAAAAAAGTTTCACTAGGCTTTACATGATATGGCATGGAATTTGTAGGTAAGAAATGTACATTATATAAAGCCACTAATATGCAGTGTGTTTCCAGGCATAACGTAAACATTATTAATTTAAGAGTGCTGTGGTGTAGTGGTAAATGCTCTAACCTGCTTGCCTTGTGAGTACAACCCAAGTTCGAACTCTTGGCAAGGTGGAATGAGTAGGAGCATTCCATCAATTTTTGCCCCTAAGCACCCAGCAGTAATTATGGATCTGGAAGTAAAACAATAGTAATATTATTATTATTATTTATTAACAGTATTGTAATAATAATAATAACAGTAATAATTATATAAAAATATACACAAAAACACTGTACAGTGGTCAAATGGTTAATACACGAAATGCTTATTTAATAAAGTCACAAGTACACAAAGAATTTTGAGCATAATGATTAATGACTCCTTTTGTAAGGGAAAAACATGTCACTGAATAACCTAACCATTTCCAATACTTAGTTTAAAGCTTAAATCACAGCTTAAAAGATGATGTAAGAACAGTTCTATCTATAGGACAGGTTCATGTATTGTACAGTCAGGTAGGACAACATACTCTGCACTTAAGTCTAAAGGATTTTTTTTATTTTAGTCGACTTCTGCAGGGTCCTTATTGATACTAGGAAATTAATAAAAGCATTTAATCTAGCCCAGAATGATCTACAGTATTATTTTTGTTTTGTTTTTGTTTCACAGGCAATTATAGACTTTGCCTGCCGAGTTACAGAGTTAGGTGAGTGACCACTGAGAACATGCACCTTACAACCCATTCTCTCAAGAAAGTACAGTACATACAATTACAATAGTTTATATATTCAGAAGACATGATTTTATATTTTGCCTTTTTCCGCCTGAAGAGTTAACGCTATTCTCTTGAAGATAAAATTAATAGTAATTTACTTCAACAGGTATCAGATGGAGCAAATGCTATTACTATTGGTCAGTTGGGCCATCATACATATCCACTGGCTCTCATTGGAGGAAACTGTTCCATCCATGGCTTTGACAGTGAGGGCAATGATCCATTTTGGACTGTGACTGGTGATAATGTTTCATCATTAACACTGGCAGATTTTGATGGAGATGGAGAAAATGAGGTAAGCAGCAATATCTTTGGTAAGAACACCAATGTTAAAAGTTTTTTATTGTAAATCAGTATGGAAATTTTGAAAGGGTTTCAGAGGGTCGTTTCTTTTTTAGATTTTGTTGTATTGTACATTTGCTGGTAGAGTAGTTATACTGTGGGCCAGGTGATTACAGGTGTCATGTGTGGGCTATATGTTTACAGGTGCCTCATGTGGGCACCTGTAAATATACAAGTATATTTACAAGTATACCATAGTAAGGATGTATACACTTAACCTACATTATGTAAACTCTGAAGCACCTGTTGATCATTAAAATACTGAGAAATTTTATCTTTTTCCTTCAGTGTTATCAAGAATTTAAGTAGGTAAGTTATGTTTGTACAACAATATATACAGTAATCTTCCATATTTATTCATTTCTATTGCAGCTTTTGGTAGGTTCGGAGGATTTTGAAATCAGAGTTTTCAAACAAGAAGAGATTTTATTTGAGATGTCGGAAACGGAAGCAGTGACGGCACTCTGCCCGATGCAAGGTTCTCGTTTTGGTTATGCCCTTGCCAATGGTACTGTTGGAGTTTATGAAAAGCTGGCAAGGTGGTGGAGAATTAAGGTGATTTATAATGTATTAAAAGTACCATTTATTTTATTGCATTTATTTCTTATTATGAGATGGTTATTGTATCTTATTTAAAAACAATAAGTTATTTATTATGTCTTCTTTCACATGTTTAATTTGATATCTTGCCTTGTTATGCATAAGATATGCATATGCATAAGATATGCATATATTTTGCCTTGTTTATGCATAAGAATTTTAGTTTTATCACTCTATGACCTATGTCAAATTCTATCTCATCATTTATACATACATTGTTTGTGTATTTACAAATGTGTATATTTATCACGCAAATGATGATTTCACATTGAAAACAGTACCCATGAAAAAAGCACTGGTCAAAGAAAAATCTTTATTTTAGACAATGTCACTTGTCTTCCTTACCTTAGGGAATATTTGAGTGTACTGCTCACACATTAGCTTTTCTTATGCAATTAAAACTTAATTTTTTATACTGTTCTCTCTGTGCTTTAATAAATAATGTTTGTTTATTTTTTTCCTAGTCTAAGAACCAGGCAATTGCAATCTACAGCTATGATCTTGATGGTGACGGTGTTCCCGAGCTGATCACTGGCTGGAGCAATGGGAAGATGGATGCTCGCAATGATCGTAGTGGAGAAGTTGTATTTAAGGTCAGGTTATGTTTCATTGTCTTACCTGTGCACCTGTTTCCAGGTAGCATATTTCAACCACACCTTCCCGACCTCAACCACACCTTCCCGACCTCAACCACACCTTCCCGACCTCACCACCTTCCCGACCTCAACCACACCTTCCCGACCTCAACCACACCTTCCCGACCTCAACCACACCTTCCCGACCTCAACCACACCTTCCCGACCTCAACCACACCTTCCCGACCTCAACCACACCTTCCCGACCTCAACCACACCTCAACCACACCTTCCCGACCTCAACCACACCTTCCCGACCTCAACCACACCTTCCCGACCTCAACCACACCTTCCCGACCTCAACCACACCTTCCCGACCTCAACCACACCTTCCCGACCTCAACCACACCTTCCCGACCTCAACCACACCTTCCCGACCTCAACCACACGACCTCAACCACACCTTCCCGACCTCAACCACACCTTCCCGACCTCAACCACACCTTCCCGACCTCAACCACACTTTCTCGGCCTCAACCACACCTTCCGGACCTTCCAGACCTCGACCTGACCTTTCCGACCTCGACCACACCTTTCCCATTTTTCCTTTATAAGCACTAGCTCTATGTGTGCATGTCTTTGCTAGCTTTGATGAAACCTTTATGGGCACTAAGATTACCTCTAAATAAAGTTTATCTTCAACTGTTTTCTTTGCAATGTCTGGTAGTAAAACCATATGATGAGCAATGCTTGGGGTTGAGCAGTATTATCACTGCATGTGGGGGCAGGGTCTTAAGATGCTGAAATGGTTAAATGACTGAGGTGACTTGTATTAAAGAAATTATTCCATTTCAGGACAACTTTCAGTCAACTATAGCTGGTATCGTGCAAGGAGACTACCGCATGGATGGCAAAAATCAGCTTATTTGTTGCTCTGTTGATGGAGAAGGTTAGTGTGAATTTTATATTTTATGTTAATATACCGTACAGTATATTAACTTGGATGAAGCATTTTGGTTTGATTTAGATTTCAGAATTTTGGTCTGAATGGCTTAATTGAGATAGGCTGATAGCCAACATATTCAACATCCCAGGAATGTGGACTGCTCAGCATAAAGACAAAGACTTGAGGTAGAAATGAGGAAGCAACATACCAAAATGGACTTGGATAAAAAAAAATAAATCCCCTTACCCAGAGGTATGTCTCTCAGATGTGAGTAGTTAAGGTTTCAGTGGCTACAAGGGAACCAGACCAAATCCTCACATAGCACCTCAGGCTAGAGTACCTTCTCAATTAGGAATGAATAGGCATCAGTCACCCTACCGAGCCTCGCTAAGGTGTTGGGTGTGCCATAGCAAACAGCACCGGGTGGCAAATAATTGTAACCTGTAACAGGTCACCAGAGTCCATTCACTTAAATCAGTCTTGATTCCTCCCATCCCTCATTGGGAGGAATCAAGCTGTTGGCATGAGTGCTGCCATCTGGTGGCAGCCAAGGATAGCAGTAAGTTTTGTAAGCAAGTGGTTTGTGGAAGCACTACTGGGCTGTTTTTTTGTGATACTAAGTAGGACTTAAAATGGCTTTGAGTGCTTATGAGTGAACATTTTGCAGTCCCACTGGGATGAAAATATTTTTCCAGTGTCTCCTTAGCACTTAGCACTGTGACATTTGATCATGATATTTGACAAGATCCATGTTGTGTTGGCATAGATGTAACCGTGTCTTGGGATCAAGATGGATTTTGCCTTGGGTAGTATTTGAGTGGAATAGTCTAGAAAAATAAATATTGTAGAGCTTTAGAGTGATGGAATAGCTTGTTTAGCAAAAGTAACATATTTTAAAATTCAAAATGCAAAATGCAGGAAGGTATATATATAAAAACTAAGGTAAAACTTTTTCACAAAAATCCATATAAAATGGCAATTGGGTAATTTCTTTTCCATGAAGTTCGTGGTTACCAGTCTTCTTCACCTGAGAGTCGGTATTCCATGATGGATGTGAATGTCGAACAAGAAACAATCCGAGAATTGAGTCAGAGACGCCACAATCTTCTGCTGGAGCTGAAAAACTATGAGGAAAATCAGCGCATGGGATCATCTGGAGAGGTGCTCTTCGGGAAACCTTCTACTGCTGGGGACCAAGTTGGAGTCATACCTGTAAGTTCCTATTTGATAACTACTAAATTTTAACATGTTATGCAGGTGCAATAAACTTTGATCAGAGACAAACAGCAGTGTAAATTATACATCATCCAGCTAAAGCTAAGACATTGAAACTTGAGATAATGTATCTTCATGAAAATTACAGAACTGTATTAGACACTGTCCTGCTGTCCAAGTACTTTAGGTATGGAATGCCGTTGAATGTGGCAACTGTGGGAATATGGCGACATACCCTTTCATCCTTGCAAAATATTTATATCCAAAAATATCACAATTCAGGTACACAGTACACTCTGAAATAATATTGTATAAGAATACTCACCAAGGGGCAGTATGTTGCTCACCATACAAACTGCTAGGTGTATGTGGTATTGTTAATTGAATTGAGGAGGCAGAATTGTTAGTTTAGGTTATAACTGAAGAGTTAGATTGACATGAAGAACACGAGTCTTTTAATCTGAATTATTTTGGCAACCCTAGTTAAAGCTTGTTTGTTGTTGTCTGGCTTTGTCTTTAATGTTTGAAAAGGTTTACATTGGAAAAATCAATCATATGCCAAGTTCTGAAGACAGTTCTGGACTCTACGAACTTTAAAATTCCTTTAATGACATGTCAGTCTCCTCGGTTCTATTTAAGGATTTTTAGATCTCTTGATCACCTCTTCCTCGTACAAATTACTGTGTATTTTCTGTCACCATATAAATTATGGTCATTAATTCCTCTCTGGGTTCTGATGACATTATTCCCTTAATATAGGCAAGGATTTTTGTTAGTTTTTTGTATGAGGAGGGACTCCTCCACACATCTCCAAGCTATAGTACTGGGGCTATCAAGCCTTAGGGAATTGTGCAGTGTGTAGTTAACTGGAGCTGGCTAACCAATAAACTAGTGTATAGAGAAGGCTGAGTTGAACTGAAACAATGTAGTAAAGCTGTCCAAATGAAGTGAACAGCAGGGCCGTGTCTGACTGTATTTCTTGAGAGGTTCTGTAGTGCTGAATAATTATTTTTTCTCATTGCGATTTTATTTTATGGACTTCATTTTATTTTTCAGGCCAACACTCAACTTCAGACTGGGCTTGCTATTAACATGGGTAGTGAAGAGAAAAATAAGCCAGTAAGTATATATAGAAAGTGTATCTGCTTCTAGCTCTAAGGACTTTGTGTGGTTATGAAGTATCAGCATCAGCTTAATCCCGTGGCCTCAAGGCTACGGGACTAAGAACTTATATGAAACATAATAACTTTTAATCATTATTTCTGGAATTTTTTGTTTACATTTGCCAGCCTCACGTGGAGATTGCTCTAGCCACAACAAATGACACTGTAATACGTGCTGTCATCATATTTGCCGAAGGTATCTTTGAAGGGGAAAGCCATGTGTTTCATCCGAGAGAATCGACACTGAGCAGCAACATAAGGGTCCCTTTATACCCTCCCAAGGTGAATGAATTTATTACACCTTTGGATAGATTTTGAATAAGCTTTTTTTTCTACTTATAACCAATACAGATGCCAATATTTTATTTATCACATTATACAACACCACAACATTCATGAATAATTATTATATAACAAGACCATAGTCATAATAAAAATAATTATAGACATAAATAATCATTATAATTAAAAATAATTATGCAAAAATAATCATAAGAATTGTAATTATTATACACCACCACCACCATTGTAAGAACAGTAATTATTAATACAATAACACCCACAGTCATAAGTGATTATTTAAATTTTTAATTTTTTTGAAGTTAATCCTCCACTTTTCTTGGAAAGTGAACCTGCTTCTTAGATACACTGTATTCGGTTTCTGTTCGTAACCAACCTGTCTTCTGCCCATGATTTCTGCACGTCACCTGGACAGTGAGTTCTCGGCATTGCACCTGTGTTATAATGCTGTTGCAGCATGGAGAGAGAGAGAGAGTGCCTTGGTATGTTTCTTCCCAGTGAAGGGGGCATTATTCATCTGACCGACCAGCATTTACCTTTGGGTCACCATCTATAGTGACCTTGATAGGAACAGGAAGCCAGCAGCTTGTTTATGATCCCCCCTGGGGGATTTTGGTCAGCGATTTGTGTGAAGAATTAATTTAAAATACTGTATGTACATTTGGAGAATGGATTATAGATTTTGGTTCATAATATTTAAGAATTTTCTATGTATTTTAAGAAGAGTTGATGGCACTACATTCTGTAAATTTAACTCCATTGTGAACAATGTGCTTACCACAAGTTTTGCAGTTGATGTCTACCCTTGTGTAATATGAAGGGCAGTTGTGTAAAAACAGTCTTGGTATCAAGGAAGGTTTTGTAGTATTAGGGAAGTCAGGACATTCAACAAGGATATGCACAACTGTAAGAGGGACACTGCAGTTACCTTGAGGTTACCTTGAGGTGCTTCCGGGGCTTAGCGTCCCCGCGGCCCGGTCGTCGACCAGGCCTCCTAGGTTAGGACAATGTGATAAAATAAAATAGCAATAAATTGTGTAAGCTCTAAGAATTTGTGTCACAGTAGTTACATAATAAAGTTTATTCTTGAATATCTATCATATATTCCATTTTTTATTTAGAAACTCTTAGTTAAAGAGTTTATGCAGGTGAGACAGGTTTGAACAGTGTGTTAAATATCCAGGTGCTTTATTCATTTATTTATTTTGGTCTTTATTAATTTCAAATTTTATGTTATGTGAAACTGAGTTTTTGTTTGTGGTAGGATGTTCCAGTCGATCTTCACATCAAGGCCATGGTGGGATACAAAGGGTCATTACACTATCATGTATTTGAATTGACCCGTCAACTTCCTCGCTTTTCAATGTATGCTCTCTGTACCACTGCAGTCAACCAGCCTCAGGGATATGTCAAGTTCAAACTGACTGAACGCGTTGCAAGGGTATGTTCCATATTTTATTCTGAGAATACAGTTGACATAGTTGTAAAATTATAATATGGATATTGAAGTGTCACTAGAATACCAAAGATTTGAGAGACCTCAGAAGAAAACAGATTAGAGAATGGCAATGTAGGATGCATACATTTGTTATGCTCTTATTGGGTCAAATTTATATACAGTGGAACCTCAGCTTACGAATGCCCCTATTTACAAATTTTTCAGGTTACGAGCTTAATTTCTTTGTAAAATTGGATTCGGTTACGAGCTTTGCCTCGAGTTGCAAGTTTGTTGATACACATATGAGTCGACCGAGCACGTGATTCCTGGTGGAATGGGTGACTGTGCCTCAGTTTAACAGTGCCTCCCGCATAGTGACAATCACGCTTGAATTCTTTGTAAGAATTTAATTGTTTTTCAGGTTTTTGGGTTTCTAAGCATAAAAGTACTGTAATTATTATATATCATGCCATGGGTCCCAAAAAAGTCAGTAGTAAAGTTCAACCTAAGAAAATAGTTGAGTAGAGCAGTAGAGGATGTCCCTTCCTCATTAAGAAAATGTGTGAAGTATGGGAAGAACTGGAAAGTTTTGCTGAAAAGACTCGCCAAGATAAAGCTGTAGCAGGCTGTTGCATTAAACTTTTTAATGACAATGTAATGTCTCGCTACTGACAAGTGTCAAGACGGGAAAAACAAGTCTCTTTGGAAAGGTTCTTAGTGAGACAAACAAGCAGTGAGCCACAACCAGGTCCTAGTGGTATGCAGGCAAAACGTAGGGAGAGAGAGTACCCCAGAGAAGTCATCAATGCCTGATGTTATAAAGGATGGAGACTCCCCTTCTAAACACTAACACCTTTTCTCCTTGACCTCTTCCTCCCTGTATGGAAAACTTCCATACGCCAACAAGAGTCATCAATAAAGGTAAGCTATAACTTGTACATACAGTAGTATAGTACAAAATATTTGTGCTTGTTATGTATATGTATTTTGAAGTTAATATTTTTGGGAGTGTGGAACGGATTAATTCAATTTACACTTTCTTATGGGAAAATTTTTCGTTTCGGGTTACGAGCCATCTCTGGGAACGGATTAAATTCGTAAACGAAGGTACCACTGTAGCATATTTTATTAGTTATTGTAACTTGTACTTTGTTGTCAGTTGCTTATTTAGCCATAACATCCATTATATGTCTGACATGCTTGTATAAATAATCGGTCAAGATTTGTGTGTTTGGTTCACTGATAGATGTGCTTGACTATATTATGATACAATGAAAGGTATCCCCTATTTTACATCTCTACTTCTTTCCAGATTGTTATGTGGATAAATTCAAGCTTTCTGCTCCTGGATGATCTACAAGCAGATGAAGAAGGAGGACTTGATGTCTCATTTCTGTCATTGCGTTCGAATATGCCACTCATTATTCAGGCCACACCACAATGTGAGATCACCATACGCTTGGATGATATGGACTTGGCTGGTGATATCATGCAGACACTTAGTAATTATCTTAACTTGGAGGACTTGCAGGTAAGATTTTACATCTTAAAAAGCATATATTTTTCTGTAGTTTACAAGTTATCAAAAAGATGCTTTTAATTTGTAGATTATTGATGTGCAGTGATGTCTATTTTGTATAGTAATCCCTTGAATTGCTTGTGGAAAGTATTCCAGAAAAGTCGATGGCAAAACATTTGTGTGCATATTAAATTTAAAAAGTTTGTGAAAAATGGCTATATGTTTAGGATATCCCAAGTATGATCTTCTTGAGGTTATCTTGGTGATTTTGGGGCTTAGTGTCCCCGAGGCCTGGTCCTTGACCAGGCCTCCTTTTTGTTACACACCCCCCATGAAGCAGCCCTTAGCAGCTGTCTAACTCTCAGGTACCTATTTACTGCTAGATAACAAGGGCATCAGGGTGAAAGAAACATTTTCCCTGCCTTCACCAGGGATTGAACCAGGAACCTCAGGACTACGAATCTGAGGCGCTGTCCACTCAGCTGTCAAGTGCCCTCAGGATACCACCAGTTCTGTCTTAGTTGACACATTGTTGGTTTAACCCTTTCCTTTCCCTCCTGTTCCATGACCTGCATTTCCCAGATCATCTGCATTGTCACTGTCTAGCCAGCTTGCAGTTTACCCTCGGCTCTATGATTTTCACAAGTACTGCTGCATAAGCACCAGTCATCTCTAACATGTCCTGGGCTGATATTTCAGCCCACCCTCTCGAGTTGCCACAGCATCATAAAAATGATAAGTTAAATTGGCCAAACCTAACCTAACTGAGGACCCACAAATAGAAAACAAGACAGCCCGTCAATTTTCCTAGCCACTATAATTTATAGTACATCATATGTTGGCTGTTGGGATTTATATGTCAAAATGCAATGTATTATTAGAGAGGATACATTGAATATTCAGGTTTGGGGGATTTAGGCAGTCTAACAGGGTTCTGGCAGCCTGGTATTTGGTTAATGTCTCTGGTCCCAGTCAGTCTTGTTACTATGAGCATGTTTCCCATCTGGGATCTCTTGTTCATTTTATAACCTGCCACCTATCGTCCTCCCCTGGTATGTCCCGCATTTTCTTCATCTGTGGTTATTTAGCTTCTGGGAATCTCCAGTGGGTTTAGGAACCTAGCATTGAATGTAATGAAATGCCTCTTTCTGATAGCCACAATGGCTTCCTGATTACCCTCCTCCCTTCCAGGTTTGTCTGTTTAGGTTTCAATGCTTCGTTTATTTGTGAATCTTGCAGTCATCTGCAAAGCTTCACTGATTTTCTGGATGCTTTCCTGGTCAGATGGCTGATTATCACTGTCTCTGTGACTCTGTGAGGGAGGGGGGCCAGGTTCTGGCTCTGGTCTCCAGTAGGCCAAACAGAACTTCTGCAACTGATATGACCCATTAGAAAGGATCAATCTCGGTGAGATAGCTTGAGTCAGTCAGCCACCGGGGCTCTACCAAAAAGAGACATTTCATTGTATTTGATGCTCGGTTTTTTAGTTGTGGATTGAGAGAACTCTTGTCTGTCTCCCCCTCCCTAACTATAAAATGTAGAAAACCATTTGATAAGCTCCTTATTACAGTGGAATAAGTCAGCTAGACTCTGGCAAGTGAGCAGTATTCAGTGTGGATCCAAGCACATTTTGATAGCAAAATCACTTGTATAAGGTACACTAAAAATATCTTTTGTTGAATTTTGTTTACATTTTCATAGTGAATGCCAGTTCACCAAATTCATGGATTCACTCCAGCAGCACAATCCTCTTTTCTTTGTATTTTGAACAAATTATAACAGTCTAATGACAGGACTGAATCCCTTTGGTGCACGTGAACTTCCAAGAGACCAGGTGCTGCTTGAGTGAATTTCACTGTGTTGCTTCCAAGTTCTGATGCTTTACCAGATGTATTTTTAACATTACTTGGCTTTGACTCAAAATCTTGCTCTTATTTTAACCCTTGTACTATAATTAGATATTACAATTAAAGCTCTGTACACATACATTCCTTATTTTTAATTTGTTTCACCTCTTACTGAACTGTATAATCAAACTTTTCATATATTAATCCTCGCTGTAAAATAATATACAATGTTTGGGTTACCTGTGACCTTATTTCTCCTTATTTAAGTTTTTAGTACTCAAGGCTATATACCAGTGTATTCTGCATTTTTATTAACATTTTATTAAATAATAACAAATGATATTTCTATAACTAGGTGGAGGCAGACTTCCCATCTGAATTGGAGCAGCTTGGGTCAGTGCTGGAGCGTGTTGAGGAGTACCATGCTACCCGTCAGCGTCTCTCGGCAGAAATGGCGGATCATTCGGGAGTTATTCGCACCCTAGTGGTTAGAGCAGAGGATGCTAGGCTCATGTCTGACATGTTAGTAAAGCTTTCTTCATTGTTTTCATTTGCTTAATTCATTTCATGTTAAGCAGTTGTTATTTTGTTCATACTATCAATTTTGTTTTTTATTCTACTTTCAAACATTGCCTTGTATACATTTATCAATATTCTTATGTATCTTGGACTTGTTAAAAATCTGAAATTTAACATGTGATTTTAAATTACTTTTAAAGTTTTATGTAAAATTACTTTTCATGAACTTGAAACAGTACATATTGTCATTCATATTTTTTTTTTCCTATTTCCGAGCCATTGCATTCAGTTGCCCCATAATCAAAATCCTATTGGCAAGACGTGGAAGAGTTAAGGCAAGGTAATACACTTCACCAGCATAGCAGAGATTTTTTTAAGGGCTTCTGTCAGGCCATACTGGTACTGGGGACAAATTGGACAATACCCATCCAGCTAAAGATGATCTCGAAGATTCAGTCCAATAAATTCAAAGCCCTTCCAAATGCTACCAAATACCATTCTCACTAATCTGATGAATGAAATGCCTGCCCACTATCCACAACCTTCATTAGATGGCACTACCTACTTAGGAAGAAGATTACCCTGCCCCAATCCTAAACATATTTCTCCTACACAATAAAATCACAATAATATGATATATCAATGAGAAGTTTTAGAGCTGGGCTGTGGAATTGAACTGATTTGCACCGTGCAAATAGTTTAATTTATGTACCCTGTTTTTTCTTGCTTTGCCACCAGCTGCCTATATTGTCATTTAGTCCCATTACACAGCCTTGACAGATCCTCTAATTGACATTCTGATGGAGGGGGGGGAGGGGGAGTGTATGTGTCCTTGCCTCTTTCTCAGGCTTTCTTGATCATTCTTTGTTTTCTGATATGGCCTGCTTTTCCTAGGTCCTCTGCATGGTGATTTGGTCCGGCTAGCTGACTGTCCTACTTTGAGGTTATGCAAAGGTTTGCCGATTTCATTCCTCAAGGCTTCTGTTGGCCCTTATGATATTGGCCAGCAGAAGTTCCTTGTTGAAAGATTTTTGGACTCGCCACACTTTGGCACATGACTTTATTTATTTGCTTGTGGGGTTGTAAGGTTTTGCATGGGGTAATTCTAGATTGAGGGGGCAAGCTTGCTACCATCTTGTGGAGGTCAGTCAGGGTTTGTCAGTCAGATTGTTTTCCTTGTTTACCTATTGGGTAACCATTTTCCTTTAAGCAATTGCTTGATTTATTGCACCTATGCTTTCTGATGGATTTTTTCCCAGTTTGTGGTTGATCTCTGATTCCCTGGTCGACTTGTCTAATACTGAACCAGATTTTGTTCCCGGCAGATAGGTCTCAGGGGCCTGGTGTGTTGGGCCAAGGTTTGGTAGTATCAAAGCCAAATTTGAGAAGCTACAGTACTTGGAACCCACAGAAAAGGTCATTTCCTATGATTCGATATTTTATTTTATGTTGACTTTTCCTTCTCAAAATGTATTCACACAATACAACTCTGTCATTAAAAACTATTGTTGCTTCGTTGTCTCACCAAACCCTTCTTATTTTTATATCAGTTTGTGCAAGATCATACACCAGCTTAGCATTCCTTATCTAAAAATATGTACCTCCCACATATGACAAAAAGTGCTGGGAAAACGGGACACCACGAGCGAAGCTCTCATCCCGTAACTACACTTAGGTAATTAATCACATGGCAGTAGGTTTTCTGGTTAGTCTTTTGATGCAAGATCACTATCAGTTCTCCTTTCCTAATTCTCGGCCAACTTTCAGTCTCAAGTGCTCAACTTTATTATTTCACATTTTTCATCTTTGTGGAGTACCATCCTCCATTTTACAGATACCTTCTTTCTGCCCTCTCACTTGTACCACAATATGCATACTATATACCTTTATGCTTGAAATATGTACAGTACCAGTATTATATAATTTTTTAAATTGCACATGTCTTTCAATTTGCATCTGTTAAAATTTACTCCTGACTTGCCATGCATGCCCATCATGTCATCCTTAAGGTCCATTAATAAATTAAAGCAGATTATAATTTTCTTTGACAGGCAGAGCATGCGTCAGTGGTACGGTGAGCTATACAATCTCAACAAGGACCTGATTAGTGGGTATAAGATCCGTTGCAACAATCACCAAGAGCTTCTCAACTGTCTTAAGCAAGTCAACCAGACAATACAAAAAGCTGGAAGGCTCAGAAGTTAGTAAAGTTAAATGGGTTTGTAATTTTTTAGTTAAATTTCTGCACATCCTTAGGTTTTCCACATTTAAATTCAACAGCTTTAATAATAAATGGTTGTACTTCTATAGTTGATTTAGTTTACACATAATTTAAGTCGGTTATATATTTAGACAAGAAAAAGTAATTATTAGCATAACCCATAATTATTATCTATAATAAAAACAGCAAGGTGAATTATAACATGATGCTCAACACATGGAAAAAATACACTTTGGACATTAGTGACTTGGACAATTGGGATCTTGGGGACAGATACATTATAATAGACAGGATACATAATCGTTGCCGGTCAGTTCCACCTGCGCTGTCAGGCGGTACTTGCCGCAAAGTTGATATTACCTAATTATTTAACTGTCTCTGAATGATTTTTGTTTTCAGTAATATTATTCAAGAGTGTGTAGTGTGATCTTTATATAATAAAATGTGTGAAACATGGCTCTACAGTATAGTACTCAAAAGTATGGTGGTCATATTAGTGATTCAATTATTTTGTTCATATAACAATAAACAAATAGTTTTGCTGTTAATGCACTATATACACACGTTACATATAAGTATCTGCATGTTTTGTTCACCATAACGAACCGCTAAGTTGGTATGGTGAGTCCAGACAATAACAGGTTGCCACACAGTCAGCAGACGATGCTCCTTCCCTCAACATTCCTCCTCCCACCATACTCTTTTTGTGCTGTTAATACACTATATACACATGTTATATATAAGTATTTACATGTTTTGTTCACCATAACTGTACAACTAAGCTGGTGTGGTGTCCAAACAGCATAGTTGTCACCCTACACAGCATGACAAGTCACACCGGCCAGCAGATGACGCCATCTCCCTCACCAAAATGGCTCCTTCCATCATACTCCTTTTGCTGTTATTACACTATATACACACACACACATTATATATAAGTATCTACATTTGTGTTCACTATAGCAAACCATTAAGCTAGTATGGTGAGTTCAGACAATAACAGGTCAAACGAACAAATCAACAAGGGCCATGACGAGGATTCAAACTCGAGTGCATGGGGGAGTTGTGTAAAACCCTGGTTTGTGTCTTGGAGAGGCTGCAGGATCCAGTAAGTTCAGTAGAACTTCGATTTCAACTCTTTTTGACCATGTCGTAGCTCAGTCGATTAAGGCAGCGTCTGGGTTGCTCTCGGACGCAGGTTCGAATCCTTGTTGATTTGTTCATTTGATGCATCACGCTATTGTGCTTTGTGTGTAATAACAGGTTACCACACACAGTCAGCAGATGATGCTACCTCCCTCCCTCACCAAGATTACTCCTCCCAACATACTACCCAGCACTAATTATCACCACAATTATGCTATTATCAGAATCCTGGTTATTTTTATCACAATCAGGGGGTCTTCTGTAATGCTATAATTGCTAAATAATAGCAGTTACATATATATTCTGACATTTTTAGGTGATGCTGAACAGCAATGCTGTTAGCTCATGTGGCGAACGCCAGCCTTGGTTGCTCACTCAATACTGAGGCTCTCACACCCAGTAATGTTACCCACATTTTTTTTTAAATGGCGTCTGTTTACTAACGCCCTGATGAAGCTGATGTGAACCTCGTATAGCTGCGGGACATTTAAATCTTGCACGGAACCCTCAGATGTATATACAAAATATATATATATAATATGATGTGTGCAGTTCAGTGACATTTACTCAAATTGTAAATATACAATTTGCGCAGTTTAAGGGTTAATAAACCTTCCCACCACTTAGGCTGTATGGTAAAGTAACTGTCTCACTTCATGCAGGGCAGTGTTCAATCCTTGACTGTACAAATGGTTGGGCACCATTCCTTCCCCCCTGTCCCATCCCAGATCCTTGTCCAGATTCTATTCAAGCGCTATAGTTGTAATGGCTTGGTGTTTTCTCCTTTTTATAGTTCCCTTTGCCTTGCTTAACTACCTGTCCCACCCCAGGGTCCTCAGTTGTGATGTGATGATGTAGACCACTGCACTACAGTACCCATAAATTTTTAATTTGTAAATATTGTACTTTTTTTCTTTGGAGTCTTTTGTCTGTTAACATTGTATTCAGTCCAGTGAGTTGTAACAGGAGATAAAATGTCTGAAAATTTTCGGGGATGACCATACCGTACTGTATATACGTGGAGAAGTAATGGGGAAACTGGAGATGATGAAAAGTAAAGCAAATAGAAAATTTTATATATCAATATAAAGGGAGTCATTCGTGAATGGTAGTTTAAAAGCTGAAAAATATTTAAAAATAAAATATTCATCCCACTACAGAGTGTAAAAAAAAGAGAAATATTGTTTGTAAGTGACGAGCAATTTGGTTGCTCAAAGCATAGTAGTGATTTCTTGGGTACATTGCAATAACTGACAGCAATATATATCTCAAACATAAACCTGTGACTCAGATGTCAACGATATTAAACGTGTAAAATCTGTGAAACTTTAAAATCTGTCTTTAATACTGGAATCCTTTCAACAGCTGGTAAGTCAAAGACTGCAGTTGTGAGTGCCTGTCGACAAGCAATCAAGAACAACAATGTAAATGCACTAACAAAAATAATTCGCACCGGCAGTGCATAACAGGTTAGTAATGTTATACGGTACTCTGTAATAAACTTTTTTTTAATTATATTTTTAATGGCAGAGAAGGGAGATTTTTTGTAGTAAAATGATATAGCCAAATTAACCTATACTATTTGATTTGTCCAAAACAATTTGGGCACTTATAAACCTCCCACACTGGGAGGTTTACATAATTATTATTCGGCATAAAATTGTCAATTTCTGGATAATTCTGCATCCATTTAAAATTCTAACACTTTAGTTTCTTTGCTTAAGCTACAAACTAAAATTGGAGAAATGACACCTTTGACATTTTACATTTCTAGGACATCCTGGGACAAATTATTCAACTGAAGCAATGAAGTCACTGGCACGGCACAAACATTCATCTAAACAGTTGAGCAAAGTTTGCCCCGACTCCCAAACGGGAAAAGTTCAACCAAGATGGACATGGTTCCACAGATGACCAGGATCAGAGGGTCTATCTTTTCAAGATTGGAACACTTTAGTCTTGTCTCCTTAATTGGTAAGAAGAGCTACTTCAAAACCCACACTCAACTGCTTAGTCATCTTCCCACTTGGTGCCTGCTTCACACACTCTTGAAGGATTAGTGTACTTCACCCACACTGGAAGGTTTTAATTTACCTGCTTCACACCCACACTGGAAGGTTTTAGTATACCTGCTTCACACCTACACTGGGAGGTTTAATATACTTCATATAAGAAGGCTTTGTATGCCTGCTTTACTTTTACTGAGTTACAGTATGTCTGCTTCATGCACTCTTGGAGGTATAGTATGGATGCTGTAGCTATTTAAAGGTTTAGTACATGTCACACATTCACTTAAAAATAAATAAATGAAAGAAGCAAAGTGGCTGCAAGTGTGTATGAATGCTGTAATGAATTTTGTTTTGTTATTGCTGTATATACTAATTACTGTGTAAACCATCTGTGATAAGTAATTAAGCTAGTCATATTTATATACAAGTTTTGAACTAGTCATCGAAGGAGATTAATCTGCAGATATGTTGCTTTAGTAATGACTGCTGTTGAAAGTGTCTTATGTCTCTGCAGAAGTTGTGCAACACAGTCACACTATTTTGGTGTATAGTAATTTCAATATTCAAATACATTGTATATATATGGGACAGTGTTTCATATTTACCCAAGTGCATGAAACAAAAGCAGGTGAAATGCACCTGCTTTTGGCAGGTGCATTTAATGGACTTTGACCTTTGTTTATGAGGGTGGGCTGAACTCGTGTGTTTCAGTTCCAGAAGCCATTTAGTTGCATGTCTTTGCATCTTTTTCTCTTTATTGATGTACTTCTTGAGATATGGGCACCATACATCCGCTGCCTATGCAGATGACTCATGAAGGTCATGAACAATTTCTTTAATACTTCGCCGTCCATTTATTTTAAGGCAATTCTGAAGTTGGAGAGTGTAGCATATACTCTTCATACAATGTTCTTTACATGGTCCTCATGCAAGTTTTCTATCCAGGATCGTGCCTAGATCTTTATGAGCATTCCTTAAAGCTTTTTCACATGATGGAAAAATTGACTGAAAAATCAATTTAAGTGGAGTGCTCAGCACAGATGCGCATTCTATCAGAATCCAAGGTGAAACTCCATCTGGGCCCACGGTTGTTAATCTAAGACGTTATATACTGTAGAATGAATGATAGTTATTTTTAATATTGCTCATTAATTTGTCATGCTGTACAGAGTATAATTTTCACTTATTATTCAATCATATGTTACAAAATGATCTCTCCCCACTCTGTGAAGTGGGAAACGAGATCACAAAAAAACATTTCTTTTACTCGTTCATCATTCATTATCACTCCATTTCTCCAAGTAGAAATATCTGCAAATAGAATGTAACTGAATATCATTATAGTATACCCAATTTCCTACCTTCAAGGGATGGAGATTCATTGTCCGTAAGGATTTAGGAAATCATTAAAGCAAAAAAGATACGAATAAAGATTTTAATGTATAGTAGACCTACAAGTGTTCAAAAATAATCAATCCAGTCACAATACTTTCCACACTCATCAGCATTGGAGAAAACCTGCCCATTTGCACGCAGGGAGACAATTCATTTAAGAAACCTCCAAGAAGCTGTTCGTGGTAGAATTCGCAATAGCAAATGGTAAACATTAGTTAAATAAATATTGCGAGCCCATTGAATGATGGTGTAGCAGTGTTAACAATGCTACACCACCTTGGGCTGGACGGTAGAGCAACGGTCTCACTTCATGCAGGTCAGTGTTCAATCCCCGACCGTCCAAGTGGTTGGGCACCATTCCTTTCCCTCGTCCCATCCCAAATCCTTATCCTGATCACTTCCAAATGCTATATAGTCATACTGGCTTGGTGCTTCCTCCTGATAGTTCCCTTCCCTATAGCACATAACTTGTATGTCCAAGACTCTCATGCGAGACTGTCACATCAATTCGTCTTTTTCTCATTGTGAAATGTGGTATGGATTATTTGAGAAAGAAATAATGTAATTAGTTTATTAATCTTAATTGCAAACATTAATAAACAATGAATTTGAAAAGTTACTGTTAACAGCCCCTTCCAGTAATGCAGCTAAAAATATCAATAGTTGAAAATGGCCACATTTGCCATCATAAATAATGAGAAGTTATACATTAAAATCAACTGAAGTGTGGTAAGTGGTACCATGTATTGTTCACAGTGCATAAAATCCATCAAATGTCCATTTATAAGATGAAATAATTATACAATATCAGGTCCAGTATTCCTACTTTTAGATTTCAATGATCCCAACAGTATAATTTCTCACCAACATATAATAAGAATATACATCAAGGACTGAACATTTATCTGTAGTCACACACACTTTAGACACCACATATAATATTAGATGATATTAGCCAAGACACAATGTTATATTTTCTGCTAATTTTAAAATACAAAGTAACTGGTGTGTAACTCATAATGTGGAGAGTAGTGCTAGAATCTCTTGAGCAACTGCTTGGTAGTAGCTGTCTTGTTCTGATGAAGTTACTTCATCTCATGTGAAGGGGACTTTGAGGAGGATGGGTGAATACTGTTGCTTAGTTTCACATTGATTTGCCTCACAAAAACCGCAAAGATTAAAGCAAAGAAGACAAATATCTCAATCAAGGTGACGAAGGAGCAGCCGAGGAAGAGACCCATGTAGCCTCCTAGTTCACCTGCACATGAAGCTTGCATTAATTTAGTGTAAAAATCTGATATATATTGTATATACAGTATTATCCTTATGCTAAGCCTCAAACAATAAGTTACATATGAAGTACACACAGAATTCACAATTAAGTGATATATCAAATGAACAAATGCACTCGGGCCGTGATGAGGGTTCGAACCTTCACACGGGATGTTCCCATATGCACCTTGGTGAACTGTACCACGACATGGTCAAAAGAATTGCAACCTGGAGTGCTTCTGCCCTCACGAGGATCCTGAAGCTTCTCCAAAGCCCAATCGGGGTTTCACACAATTCCCCATGTGGATTTGTACATAAGAAGTCTTCTACACATTATAAAACCCCACTTTATTAATTATCATTTATGTTAAACCAATTTTTATTGACTATTTTTCTCTGTTCACATCTATTAAAGCACTGAGTGAGTTGGCCTTTATTCTCCTTGGCTATTTGACTTTTCTGTGGTTAAAAAAAGTTTACAGTTGATTATGTGCAATAGTGCTAATGACCAAGGTAGTAGTCTTAAAATGTTTGACACTGCTTTTGTATCTTCACTTTTGGACTACAATAATACACATTTAACCCTTGCAGTGCACACCATGGCTAGGGCTGTATTAAAGTAGTGTAAGATTTAACACTCCCGATAATACATGGGGCTCACATTGGCTTTTTCAGGCCTCAAGTTAAGATACTATTTAAAAAAAAAAAATCACACTGTTCTTGGACTAATGTCAAGGCATTAATACCGAGTGAGCAACCAAGGGTGGTGCATGCAGCACATGCTAACAGCACTGTTGTTTAGCTTGTGTCCACAGAATCACTTAAAAATTATAAAATATATAAGGAATTGCTATTATTTTACAATGATAGTATTGTATTATTGAACATCCTAACTGTAATAAAGACTATATACAGTTTCATTCTCCTGGGCTCTAGGAGACTCAAACCGCGGACCCCACGCGCGTGTGAGGCTGAAGCTCCTGAACTATGTACAGTACTCGCCTAATTGTGCTTGCAGGGGGTGAGCTTTGGCTCTTTGGTCAGGGGTGATATTCAGACATCAGTGAACACAATGCTGTTGTTGATGTTCACAGCATGACAGACAACTACAGGACACTACCATTGTTTGGTGCATCTATGCATCATGAATGTGACCTCATTCTCTTTTTAGAAAACTACAAAAGGATTCATATTCAGGGTTTACTGACAAGGATGCTGATAATAGTAACATTGTGCCTAGAGTTAGCAATTGGCGTGTTATACTGGAGGCATTGTGTCGAGTAAAGGGGCATCACGTCGGCTGCCTAGTTCAAATGTGTTTATTGAGACAATAATGAGACAAATAGCCCAAATGAAAAGTGGAGGTGCAATAGGCACGCTGAGAATGAACTCAAGCAATAGTAGAAGGTCCAAGACTTTTCAACACTCTTCCTCTACACATACAAGCCATAACTGGCTGATCTGTGTTTAAAAAAAAAAAAAAAAAAAAAAAAAAATTCTACTGCACCTTCAAAGGACACCTGATCAACCAGGCTGTGACTAGTACACCAGGCTACGAGCAACCGCATTGAACAGCTTGGTTCACCAGAAAAGCAACCAGGTCTCTTGGTATTGATCCTCGGAATCATCATCGAGTAGTCAACAGGTGGGTAGAGCCACAAGGAAACTCCGGAACTCAGGAACCTGTACACAAGTAGATTGGCCGTTGAGAGGCAGGACCAAAGAGCCGCAGCTCAGCCCCTGCAAGCACAACTAGGCGAGTATAAGGGGCACCCCTCCAGAAAACCTGCATTAAATGTAATAAAACTTCTCTTTCTGAGGGTGAGCCATCTGTGGCTCCCTGTTGCTAGCTACACTGAGATAGTCTACACATATTATATCAGTTCGGCCAGGTTTTGGCCTTGAGGCCAAAACCTGGCCCCCCCTCGCAGAGACACAGGGAGCAGGGCAATTCGTAATCAGCCTGGCAAAAGAAACAAACCACCAGAAAAGAAAGTGGTGCGGTGGTGACACTTGCCTAAGTTTGGAATCCTGGCTGGGGAGGACTGACTAGGCACCAGTCCTTAACTATTCTCTAACCAAGGGTGGCCTCTGTTTACCCAGAAGTGATTGGGTATCTGGTTGTTAAACAATTAGTGGGTCGTATTCCAGAGAAACCAGTGGGTAAGGCAACCATGAGCTATTAGATGGGAAAGCTCTCTGCCTGCTAACAGGAATCCGCAGTCACCTGTTCCTGTATCCACCTGTTAAAAAAAACAAAGAACTGCAAGATTCACAGAAAGTAAAACAATGCAGGAAAGTCTGCAAACTATCCACCAAGTAATTAGGTCATACCACTTTCTCTAGTTGTAGCTTCCTATTCCTCATGTCAACAATAATCAATACAGAGGCTAAGAAAAGGCCAACTGAAGCACCTGGTAGGAAGGGAGTGAGGGTGGGTGGCAAGGAGCCACCAAGGATTCCCCAGAAAGAGGCATTACATTACATTCAAAACTAGTTTTCTGAAGAAACAAACAGTAGCTCACCATTTGTAAAAAAAAAAAAAAAAAAAATCAGAGGATGAGGAAAACAAAAATCTAACTACTGAAGAGAAGAGACCAAGAGAACAAACCCTTACCCAGGACACTGACCAGATAACAAGCCACCATGACACCACACACATGATAAAGCCTCAAAATTATTGGCATCGTCTCTAAACTCTCAAAAAGTTTTTTTTTTGAGAGAGAGAGGCTGATCTATCCCAGCCTCTATCTGAGAGGCTAAGATGAGGGAGGAGAGGAGAGATGAAAGGTACCACATAATATATACATGGACGAGTCTGGAAGACCAGGTCCCAAATTTTCAGAGTAAAATAACAACATACTGCAGTGAAGCATATGGTAGAAAAATGCAGAACAGAACCACTGAAGAGTAGAGGTGCCATATGCACAATCAGAACATTGTATGAACATCAAAGGTCCACAGCTGTTCCATATCTTAAGGCAAGAAATATTGCAGAAACAAAAGTAGACTGGTTCAATAAACAATTAGACAAGTTCCTGCAAGAAATGCCAGACCAACTAGGTTGTAGTGGATATGTAGGTGTGCAGGCCACTGCAAGCAACAGCTAAGTGGACCAAGCTGTTACAAGTATGGCCTGGCCTCAGGTCAGGCTTGAAGAGTAGACCTCTTAGAACCTAATCCAGGCATACTCCAGGAAAAACCCCAAGCCCTCCCCCCCAAAAAAAACTTTAGGAAATATTGCAGTCAAAGCTGCAAACAAACCAAACACCATGGACCTAATGGTAGCCCACATGCTGGCCAAGATTTTATGACTGCAGATGACCTGAGAATATGCTTAGGAATAAGGTACAGTACCTAGGAGATCAGATTAACAATATGTATACTCCTAAACAGCCCAGGTTGTGTACAGTTAGCAATGAACAGATGAAACTGAACAAATTATACATTCCTGTCTGAATAAATTAAGAAACAATAACAAAAGAACCCCTTCAGAAGCTAACCTTTCCAATCTTCTCCAGAAAAGCACAAGAAAGCTGTAGATGAAGAAATTCCCCACCAGGGAACAACACCTCTGCTTCCAGAGGAGAGCATGAAGCTCCCCAATTGGAAGCAAGGGCCAACAAAAATGAAGATCTAAAAAAGGAATCACAGACCAAAGAGGCAACCGAGAACTGAGGAGAATAAAGAAAATCCAACACCCTATTCAGAGACAAAGACAGTTCAGGAGGAGAATGTGCAAGCTGCAGGTGAAAAAAACACAGAAAACAACTTATGAAATGGTGCTGATGTAAGAGAGAGACCCTTGTGTAGTGAGAAATAGCAGTGCTATTGAGAAAGATCATTGTATAGGAAGAAATAGCAGTGCTATTGAGAAAGATCCTTGTATAGGAAGAAATAGCAGTGTATTATGTAAGAGAGAGAGACCCTTGTGTAGGGAGAAATAGCAGTGTTAAATGAAAAAACAGTCTGGAACTCTGACCCCTTTTAGATGCACAGAGCATCATCTCAACAGGAAAATGTAATCTAAAAAAAACCAATGTAAACAAAAGGGATAAAATGGTTAAGAAAAAGCAGATTCAATGCAAGAAAATATAGAGAAACAGTGTTAAATGTAGAAAAACACCCTGGAACATTATAAGACATATAAATGAAGTATTGGGAAATGTGTATGACATGTATAGGGAGGGGACATATGCAAGCCTCTAGCAGTCATTTGTTTTTGGGTGAGGGATGCAGTGAGAACCAGACCAGTGTCGTGGACGGTCTCCAACAAATAAGATAAGTGCAGTATTATAGATGTTTAGAGCGGTGCTTCCCCTTTTCTTTATGAGTTAAGGATAGGAATTTGTGGAAATAAGGATTTTTGGAACCCTGTGTGTAGGGAGAGTGGTGTGTTGTTAATACAGGTGTATGTGCTCAGCTGTTTGTCACATGGGAAGAGTATCCACATTTATTTTGTATATTCATTTGTAAACACAGGCCCTTTGTAGTGACCTATGAGGAGTGGAATGCCCGAAACGCTTTGCGTAATAGTGGCTTTAGGCATTGTATGTACTAGCTCTACCTATAAGTCAAACAATCCTTGTAAATATTTATTGTATGTATGTACCTTACCTAAATAAAATTGTATTGTATTGTATTGAATAGAGTAATGACCTTAAGTCCCAGGTTGTAAAGGGAGAAGGACCCTCCCCCCTCCCTTTTTTTGTCTGTATCAATCCTGTGGTGGATCCAAGTACACCCCCCCCCATTCTAAGAAGTGTGAGGAAATCTGGTATTTGTTAAATAAAATCCTTTTTGTAAAATTGTACCCCAAGGTGTATTTCTTGTCCCAAGGGCCTGGTAGCCTGGTGGATAGCGCGCAGGACTCGTAATTCTGTGGCGCGGGTTCGATTCCCGCACGAGGCAGAAACAAATGGGCAAAGTTTCTTTCACCCTGAATGCCCCTGTTACCTAGCAGTAAATAGGTACCTGGGAGTTAGTCAGCTGTCACGGGCTGATTCCTGGGGGTGGAGGCCTGGTCGAGGACCGGGCCGCGGGGACACTAAAAGCCCCGAAATCATCTCGAGATAACCTCAAGATGTAGTTAGAATGGGTGATTATTGTTATATAGACCCCTGCACTTCCATTATTTATAAGAAAGTAAGAGCGGGTGTTGTTAGCGATACTTTAGGGTACAGCTTTCAAAGATCGTTCTTTACACTTCCTTCAGAAAGTGTAAGGAGCAATCGTTCCTTCAGAAAGTGAATGCATGTGCTGCATGCACTTCAGAAAGTGTTTTGTTCCTTCAGAAAGCATTGATGCCAAAACCCAACAAAAGTGGCTTCACCAAGGCTGAACAAAAAGAGAAGACAGTACCTGGCATAAGATGCCCATCAACAAATAACCAGGACGAAAATGACAGGACCACAAATACCGAAACAGAAAACAAATAATGAAGAGACTGAAAAAATAGAACAGAAAAAGATTGTCAGGAAACCTCTTCTGTACTGCCGCTTCAACAAAAGATGCTGGTGGAAGACTAAGAACTCTGCTAACCATATCACCATACAGATGGTGATAGACCAGCGTCAGAAACTGCAGAAGATCAGATCAGAGGAGAACCTCGAACCAGTGAGATGTCTCCGGACTGATGTGCTGAAGACGTGCAGCTGTGTAAAGACGCCAGAATTCAGTCACCAAACCAGAAGGGTCAGAAACCAGACTCAGTTGGCCAACAAGGATCACTCGGCCAGTGTAAGGCTTCAGTCTAGACAGGACCTGGAGCATCAGTCAAACTGGAAGAGAATGATAGAGGAACCCCCCCACCCCAATCATGTTACATCCATACAAACACATCGTACCACCTTTGCTGTGCTATCTTTAAACCTCCATAACTGTATTTGTTCACTTTCTCTATTTAATAGCTGGCTATGACCTTACTTATAACCATCACTCACAATATCTTACTATCACTATTATTGATTACCTTATGTTTTCACTGCCACCACTTGTAAAGGTAATGAAAGAGTTTCTTACACTCTTACAGTTACAGTGCTTACAAGGCTCTTACTTGTAAGAGGCTTGTAAACATACATGTGAGGCAGATACTAAATATTGAAATGATGCACAAGCAAATAGCCCCCCCCCCCCCCCCCACAGGACAGTCAAAAGGATGGCCAACACTTGTCTAGAAAATCTGGGACCTGGAGAGCCAGTGACTTGAGGAGCAGGTCAGACTTATTTGACATTAAGCAAAGAACTGATCACTGCTGACATGGGAGCTGGTAGCTCCCATGGTATTGCCAACAGGAGGTGGCCAGCTGTAACTTAGAAGGAACATAACCTAACTACAGTGTGGATAGTTTGTAGTGTTTGCCGAGCTGTTTGCTGAAATATGTGTCTACCTTTTTGTGAACCTTGCTGTTGTCCATTTTGCTTCACTTTCTCTGGGGTTTGTTTCTTCAGGGAGGGTGATAATTAATCCCCTGCTTCCTGTGAAGGGAGGGCCAAGTCTTGGCCTTTGGTCTCTGGGAGGCAATTAAGGATCTTTAGGGCTAATGTGACTTACATATATAGTGTGTGAAGCTGTCTCAGTGCAGCTAGCAACAGGGAAGTACCATTCAGCTCCTCCAGAAACATTAGTCGTTACCTAAAAATAAAAAAAGATTAGATGCAATAGTTCAGGCGCACAGGAAGGTTCTGAAACGAATTGCTCTGTTGGGGTGATAATTCAATGAAAATCATTACAATTAAAATATATGCATACTGTACTTGTAAAGGAGTACTAGGTTGAGAGAAATAATAAAAATGATGCTTCAGCTAAAAGGGCTTTGCCAAATTAGATTTCATAAAGCCCTTACAGAGGAATCATCATCATCATCAATACAATCTACTCAACCTAGTGCTTCCCTGTCATTGTCAGTACTATTCAATGTGTATTTACTGGTATTTATTTGATTTAATAAATACTTACTCATAAATTCCTCGATATCTTTACGCCAGCGCTTGATCTCAGTGTAGTGTAGGTTAGGGAAGTATACCATGGCCACTGCCACATCACTCCTATTGTCAGGTTGGTCACACAAATGGAAGAAACTAATCAACACATTCTCAGGCAGCAAACAAGAGAATATGAATACCTTTGATAAATGTTTGCATTTTCTGTATCAGTAAAAGGAGCAATAGGAGATCACGCATCTGTTATTAAAGTAGCATGAATAATAATAAGAATAAGGGATTATACAGTTGCTGTAATTATCACTTTAAAAAGTCCTAATTTCATGGTCTATATTATGGTACTGTATATCAACTATTTTTCAGTTCCAATTTTGATAAGTTTAGTAGATATGAGCTAAGACAAGCTCACTATAGTAGGAAAGAGCAGGAATAATTTGGACAGTGGTTCTCGTGAAAAATGTGCTGGGTATTCAATATGGAGGTTGTGACGTTCGTTCACAGCACAATTTTCCTAGTAAAGGTTTTGTAGTTTGCTATTCCTATGTAGATTTTTGGAGGTTTATTGTAAACATTATTAAGGTGCCAAATATTTCTTACACAAATAAAATTTAACTTTAATGTTTAAAGGGATTGCTATGCTATGGTACAGTATAAACAAGTTGGCCCGACATACCTCATTTTACTTAAATATGTTTTCAAAGACTCTCTGAACCATCTCTTCTGTGTTGTTGTCTCATATGACTAGGTATATGATAAGACAGATAAGGACAAAGTTTAAAAGCAACTTTACCCATTATGGAGAGAGAACTGATCGTGTAGGCTCTGGTAAATGTAGTCCTGGATCGGCAGGTGGGTGCTTGCATGCATGTAGTAATAGTGTGAGCACAGACGTCGACATCCTTTACTTACTGTTTACACAATACAAATATAAATTAATTCCAATAGAGATTATAATTCATAAAATATATGATCATTAGCAAAGAGACATCTAGGTAGGTTTACTCTTGTATGCAAACAGATTATATATTTACCAAATGGTATAAGAAGGGGTTAAAATGGTATATCAAGAGGTTAAACTGGCACAAATGGTCAAAAGGATGAGAGGATATAAGTACTATACCTGAGTATTTGTGAAGCATATCTGAAAATTATCCTTCTGACAAACTTAAATTTGTTATTAAATTCTGTGGCATGTGTCACTATGGTTGTGAAACACATGATTCTAAATTTGATTTAATTGTAAAATGTCCTTATAATGATTTTATGAATGAGGTGGTCATGATGGAAGTCAAGATTAAAAACTAATGTAATAAGTAAATGGTGTTTAGTGTGTGAAATTAAGCAAATTGAATATGGTACTTTATTTCATTTTATGAATAGAGGCAATTCACAGAGAAATCACATTATCGTTATATATCAATGAGAAAATTCTCATCACGGCTCCAGTGGATTTTCCCAACAGAGGTGATTATAAAAACGGAACACATTTAGCAGAAACACATTTAAGAACATTTGAAAATTGTTGATATGCAAAACAAGACTTACGTGTGAATGTAAACAAATGTATATCAGTGATAGTAATTATAAAATAATACTGTGTTGTGGACAGTAAATGTTGAAGTTTAGACCTTGACTACAATATCAGTTTCAACACCTGCAGTGTGGAACTGATAAAACAGGAAAGTGTTAGTTGTTGGGAGTCACATCAGGGAAGGAAAGTGTCAGCACAGTGAAAGCCTGAGTTAACAAGAATGAGATAGGAAGAATGGCAGCCAGAGATTTACATTAAAGAGTCAGAGACTACAGTACTTTTATGCACAGGTACTAAACAGGGAGGGAACTTAAAGCTGCCAAAGAAATATACGAAAATTTACTTTCACAGAGTGGTAAATGGTTGGACCAAGCGAGGTGGTGGTGGCCAAAATCATCAGTAGTTTCAATCCATTATACGATGAAAATAAAGAGTGCTGGGAAGATGGGACACCATGAGCGTAGTTATCATCCTGTAACTACACTTAGGTAATTAGGTATGAGCAGGTGGAAAATCAAAAGTTATGAGTAGAAGAGGGGCAATGCAGGATCAATTTGTAGTGTTAGAATGGCAGATTATGAAATTAAAATATCATGGAGATGTGAAGTGCAAAAGTTGGTAAATTTATCAAATTGATCAGGGTTTATCTAGACGGTTTAGTCATACTGATGAATGTATGTTGATAAAGAGGTGAAAAGAGCATTTGTTTAAGTGATTTAGAAGATGGGAATGGGAAAGAAATGTCTAGAAGATGGACAGGCATGTTCAGTGAAAAAGCAGGAATTATGTAAACAGCACATAAGGAGTGGTGTACAGTTATCTACCGTAGGTGAAATCAGTTAACTGAAAAAAAAAAAGAGTGATTTAAAAAAATGGACAGAAAACCATGAGAAGCCATCTTCAGTGTATAAAAAAGTGGCGCAACGTTGTAGATATTTTGGTAGATTTTAATGGTGCCAATTCTACTTTATGTTTACTGTGCAAGACATAACAAACGGATGGGCATCAGTTTTGAGTATCTTTAAATCTTATTTCCTACATTGATTTCTTATATTTTCCTCGAAGCCAATGCCTTCCCATCCCATTCAAATGGGATATGTGGTGTTGATAATGATAAATGTGTAGAGCACCGAGATTTTAAACACGTATGTTTGCATTCGAGAGGGAACAAGTGTAACAAATGTTTTAGCCAGTGTTGCCATGGCTTCCTACCTTTATTCCAGCACTGGTAAATCAGATTTCTGTTCAACTTCTTTTCATTTTGGAGAATGGAGCTGTTGTAATATTGCCGAGTAACATTCATGGCATCCAAGATTATGCCAAAACACTGGAAATTCATATTCAGGGGACATGGAGCCCAGCTGTCTGTAAAAATGTTTTATATTTTATTATCTAATGACTTTACAGTTCATTGCACATCTGTCACATTGTTCTATACATACCGAGACACGCAGTTTAACAGTTTAACCCACCATGCGAGTTATCCAGACCATAGATGGTGCAGTTGCATATGTGCTTGGAGCAGTAACCTGACGCTCCGACATCACAGTTTGGTTCAGTATTTAGGAAGGCCTCTGGATCCAGCCTGTAATTCATCTTGTTTAATGGTATACACTCGGTCTCTGACCAGTCTAAAGCGGTCTTCATGCCCACGTCCCTCACCTGAAGTCAGTCATGGCACATAAAATGAGTGAATCTGGCGGCCTGTTTATCTTGAAGTATCATTTATAGACTTTTAACTATGATCAATATGAATGTTTAACATTATCTATTTTAAACTAGGATCAGTAACAGGTTTCATAAACCTGGCAACCTGTGCTCCATACAGAGCACAGTACCTGGCAACCTGTCCATACAGAGCACAGTACCTGGCAACCTATACATCATACAGAGCACAGTATCTGGCAACCTATACACCATACAGAGCACAGTACCTGGCAACCTATACACCATACAGAGCACAGTACCTGGCAACCTATACACCATACAGAGCACAGTACCTGGCAACCTATACACCATACACAGCACAGTACCTGGCAAAATGTACACTAGACACAGCACAGTACCTGGCAACCTGTAGAAATTTTATCTACATTGAAAGTTAACTTAATTTTATTATTTTGTTAGTGATGCATTTGCCAAATAACCAATCATAATTGTTTATTAATTTTAATAAATGGCTGCTAAAAGAACACACTTTTACTGTATGAATTTGGCTCGTATGATACCAAATATAACATTACAGGATCAGCTTCTATAAATAGCTAAAAATTAGTGTAGAGAATCAGAAGATAGTGAAATATCACTGTAAATCTGTTAAATTACACAAGCAATTATAAAGTGATCGTTCTGCAATACCTTTGCCTGTGAGTAACACCCCATGGTACTGACATAGGGGTAAAGAAATACTTATTTCTGGTCTCGTGTTAATGGGTTGTATTACTTCCATGAAAGAAGAGCTTTAGATCAGCTAGTATTGAGGCATAAAGTTTTGCGAGTGTAAATACTGTACTGTAGCACAATAAAATGCATGGATTAAATTTAGAATGTTTATACTGTATAGTGATTTGTTGGAACATAACTTGTTCTAGTTCTGACTGTTGATTTTTACTAGGTGGCGATGTGCTCGAGATAGTTTGTAATGATTGAGCCTATGATTCTATTTCTTTGGATTATTTCTAGCAAGGCTAACCCCAATATTTTGTTACGGTTTCTAAATTTGAAAATAGAAAATGTCATTAGCCCAATTACATATCTGCCACACATTAACTCAAAACACTGGATGGACAAGAATCTTGCTCTTTGCTGTCCAAAATGCATAGATTTGCTTATTGCCATACATCTTAGTAAACTAAACCCAACTTTTAAAATGAAAGCCATATTGGCATTTTTCTTGTCCTATCAACATAAAGAAAAGTATCACATGCAAGAAAAAAGAAATGAAGAGGTAATCTAACCACAGTGCAAACGAGGAGTCACAATAACGTGGCTTAAATACAGTGGCACCTCGATTAACGAGTTTAATCCGTTCCAGCACTGAGCTCATCATGTGGAAAACTTGTCTTGTGAAACAACAACAAAACTGACACTGGAGGTGTCCGAGAACCAGCGGGAACGCTCGTTAATCGAAGGAAAGCTCGTCAGTCGAGACATATTTTCTGCATGTAGCTTGCTCGTCACTCGAAATGCTCGTAACTGGAGACGCTCGTCACTCGAGGTTCCACTGTATGTTAACCAAACCACACACTAGAAAGTGAAGGGATGACGTGTGGGGAAAGTACTGACCACAGTGAGATAGACTTCAACTCCAGTGTACATCCGGGGAAGGAGAGGCACACTCTGGCCCACTACCATGTAGGAGGGGTGAGTGTGGTTGCTCATCATTGTCATTTGGAACCCCGCTTTCATAAACTTTGGCATGTCTAGGATTACTGGGTCAATCTCTGTCGGTAAAAACAGTTTGGTTAGTATAATTTATATACAGTATGTTTTTTTATCAATAAAAAACATAATTAGTGTGTTATATGTAAGGTGCCATATAATCTCGGACAGTTGCGTACATATGATCAAGTTCATCAAATATATTGGTATATATATATTTTAAGAGGTACATTGGACAGAGCCAAAACAAACACACTGCAACCTAGAACTAAGACTTGCCCCTGACAGACCACATAAATTAATAGATTCGTGAGATTCATTAAATGTGTGCAAGTGCTTCTTATTGAGGGAAATACGGTGGTTCACTACCTACCTGACAAATATATCTTGCTATACCTGCTCACTTTTAGGACATGTAGATGGCCAAACCTGTTCCGTCAAGTGATCCTCCCCATGAGAAAACTACACTTGCTCACCTAAGTGGTCGTCCTTGATGAAACTGATGTAGACACCCACACCAGGATGATCATCATCATGGGTAGAACTGTTGTATAGTGGCACACTTTCTCACCTGGTTATGATAATGATTGGCCCTCACCCGAGCTGGATGATGGTCCTTGATGATACTGATACAGTCAAAAATACTAGTCTAGAATCGTATGTTCACCTGGTTGGTCATCCTGGGTAAAGTTGATGTAGATGGTCACTCCCAGGTGGTCTCCCTCCATGGTCTGGGTATGGTTGGCAGCACCAAAAAAGGTGTAACATTTGCCTGTCATCGTGGGCGTGGCCACAATCAGATTGCAACACTCGGCAGTGTCCAGCTTGTGAGTGCCTACCCCACATTGCAGCACCATCTCTTCACACCTGTAGTAAGGGAGATCAAGGAGTGACTCTGGCCACCCTGAGTGTCTAAGCACTATCAGGTGGTGGTGAAGTATATGGTTAGTCAAAACAAATCATGTTAAGGGGGAAGTAAAGGAGTTATTTATGTTATAGGGATGAGTGATGATAAGGAAATTTGAGAATTTATGATTTAGGAAGATGTCGACAATCCCTTTACACTAAACTCCAGTATCTCTATTCTGTATACTCTAAACTTAAGACAAATTAAATGCTATTTTCAGGGATAAAATGATTGGAAATATAGTCCGGCATAGCTTTTAGGACTAATTGCTATTGGCCTTGATAGGCTAGGTAAGATGATGTATTCTGATTTCTATGTAGATGTATACATATGCTTGGCCAAGGTGTACTTCATACATTACAGTACACTTGTTTAATGCCTACTACTTTGTAATCTGGTTTTAACGATATACTGTGTTGTTTGACAATCGACTTGAGAATGGTCCAGGACGGACCGAAACGTCGTCGTCCCTTCACCTTCTAGTGTGTGGTCTGGTCACCATACTTCAGCCACGTTATTGTGACTCATCGTCTGCATATGAACATGATGCTTACAGCGACCCATACTAGTCCATCTGGCTACACTACACAGTCACAATCAACTATACTAAGCCTTCCGTATAACTATAATTCATACTTTCATGTTTATGTGCTATGTGAGATCACCCCTTAGTTATGGGCAGGTAAGGCATACAAATTGTATACTTGTACAGGTCACGTATGGAAGAATATACAAATATTTTTAGTTCCTTACCTGATAATCCTCATGAACAACTTTGACCTTTAACAACCTGCTGGCTTGTTGTCTCCGTCAAAGCCACTAGAGATATAGTGGCCCTCGGAGATATGTACAATATTTGCATAGACAGGCGAGTAAACATACCTGTATGAGATAGCGTCGATGAGCTGGCTGTGTGTGAAGTTGTGGGCGAGCATGAGGGAGAGGAGCTGGCTGTGGGAGTCCCTGAGGAAGGCCTGACCCTCACTCGTCACCAGGAACTCTTTTCGCACTACGAAGATGGACCCGGTGATGGCGATCAGGTAGTTGGCGAGGCGAGTGCTGATGTTAAGGGCTGGCAGACACGGAGAGGTGGGATATGTTGTTGATAATGTTAAAATGGCTCTCAGGGAAGGAATAACATGCGTGATATTTAGTCACTTTATATGATGTGGATAATACCAACACTTGATCGCCTGGCTGATGGCCCAAAATTGGGTCTCAAGAGCATAAGCTCAACCCTACAAGCACACCTAGGCAAATACTTGTGTATGTTCACCCATTTAATTCATGATATATATCTGTTAAAGTCTTTTTTGATGTATGCATCCTTGTCTTCCCCCCCCCCCTCACCTCACCTCTGAGTTTCCACTTGGAGAAGAAGTGTCTGTTGCAGAGGGCGACGGAGGGCAGCTGTAGCTGTCCTCTCCTGGCCAGCTTCACCGTTGTCTGTGAGGAGAGAGACGGTGAGGGGGCGAGAAAGACAGCTAGAGACAGTGAGGGGGCGAGAAAGACAGTAGCTAGAGACGGTGAGGGGGGGCGAGAAAGATAGTAGCTAGAGACGGTGAGGGGGCGAGAAAGTCAGTACAGTACCTAGAGACGGTGAGGGGGCGAGAAAGACAGAACCTAGAGACGGTGAGGGGGCGAGAAAGACAGAACCTAGAGACGGTGAGGGGGGCGAGAAAGACAGAACCGAGAGACGGTGAGGGGGCGAGAAAGACAGTAGCTAGAGACGGTGAGGGGGCGAGAAAGATAGTAGCTAGAGACGGTGAGGGGGCGAAAAAGACAGTACCTAGAGACGGTGAGGGGGCGAGAAAGACAGAACCTAGAGACGGTGAGGGGGCGAGAAAGACAGAACCTAGAGACGGTGAGGGGGCGAGAAAGACAGAACCTAGGGACGGTGAGGGGGCGAGAAAGACAGAACCTAGAGACGGTGAGGGGGCGAGAAAGACAGTAGCTATAGAGACGCCAGGTCAGTGTGGAAGTGGAGGCGTCAGCAAGGGTGTGAACAGCGGGGACACCAACCTATGTGAGGCAGTGTGGGAACCGCAACAGAGGAATACAACGACACTAGGAATAATATATATACTATTTACAATAATAGCATGAAATAAGGGATTCTGTTAGCACACACTTTCCAGTTACACGACTCGGGAAGCACTCGCCTGTGACTGAACGTCCCTCTGCACGAAGTCGCACGAAAGTCTAGCAGACAAGAGAAGCAGGAGAATGAAGAGGGAGGCAGTGACGATGAACCAGAACACCCCGAGGAAGTTCCTGCGGTTGTTCCAGGTGTGACCAACGCCATGGGCTGTGGACTCCTGACAGATGAGCTCCACTACCTGCTCCAGCGGCCGCTCTCTAGTGAAGTCCTGCGTCAGAGAACAACAGTGATTTAGCTTTAAATTGCCCTCAAATGGTTTCACATGCGCACTCCCATTCTGCAAGATTGACTTAAACCTTTTCGTTCTGAACGCAGATTCGTCGAGCAACTAGTTTTTCTTTTGGTCGACATTCTCGCCTGCATCATGCACACCATAATGTGCTTTCAAATATAAGGATTGACACACGGCCAAAAGTATGAAACATCGACAAAGAATGCGACACGTGCATTGAAATCGTAATAGAAAACGCGATCGTGTTTAATGTTTACAATTACCCTCTTACTACCTGTATGCAGAATCCCCCGTTACTTGTACAATTAAGTCAAAATGCTCTTAAATTATAACCCACGGTCGAATAAATATAACCATTATATAAATAACGTAATGAGTTTTATATTACAGTTCTCAGTGGGTACCAGAGTGGCAAGGCTCGTGGCGATTGATCGAGTAATTTTAACGGTGATTATCTCTAATATGTGGACGGTGCCAGACTAAGTTTTGGCTGGCGGGATGGGTCAATACAGCGTCTGGGCCCATGAGGGATGGGAGCAGGTTATAGAGGTTATACGTGTTGTGGGATAGATCGAGTTATAGAGGTTATACGCGTTGTGGGATAGAACAGGTTATAGAGGTTATACGTGTTGTGTGATGGAACAGGTTATAGATGTTATACGTGTTGTGTGATAGAACAGAATAGACAGATGCAAGCACTCTGCATCTGTCTGTCTATTGTTAAACTTGCAGTTATATATAAAAGCTGATACAGGGAAAATGCTTTAGCTTCATATATATGTTTGTTCAATCCTTTTTACTTCAAGGTTTTAATGTTTATAGATACTACTCTTATACTCTTATCTTAGGACTGACTTAACTACGATCGAATTCAGCAACAGGGTAACCTGACCAAAATATCCCGCCCATCATACAAGAGTCAATAGCGTCCAAAATGTTAAAGAAAGGAAATCCGTTAGCATAAAACAATTTTAGTATCCGATGACACTCCTCTTTTGTATAAATTAATATATCCACTAAAGTAGATAGAATGAGGTTTTTGGAGAAGGCATCAGTATACTGTATATATCAGATATACCAACTACTGGGAGCGATATCTCTGACGATAGATTGAGGACTAGTGATTGGCTCTGAGGCTTAGCTATACGACGGAAGTCTACGGGGAGCTGTCATCTAATTTCACTTACTATTTTGATAGCTAATTCAGATGCACCTTCCACTACTACGGTTGACTTTGCCACTGTATTAATTCTATAATTAATAATCCTCTTGTTAAGTTACGACGTCATGGAGAAACTGAGAAGACGGAGAACTGTTTCTTCATCTTCTGGGTTAGTTCATCTAACTATTCATAATATTATGATAGATGTGGAGTATTGGGAGGCTTTATAGGGCACTGGGCTCAGGATCTAGGATATACGCCCCTACAATTATATATACATTGAAATAAATGACAATATTAAATCTGTTACAACAATAACAATGGCTGCAATTAAGGCACGTTACTATTAGTGCAACTAATTATATACCAACTTATTTTACAATTACTGCTGCTTTGGCTGCTCTTGTTTCTGCTGCTGTTGCTGTTTCTGCTGTTTCTGCTGTTCCTGCTGCTGCTGTTGCAGCTGCTTTAGCCGTCAGTTTTATTATTTTTATTATACCATCGCTGGCCACGATCACCGCCACACTCCCAAACCACAACCACCACCACCACACCTGCCTGTACCCAGCGCTGCGTGCCACCACCACACTGGGGCCGGTGGCTGAGTGGACAGCACGCTTGATACGTTGTCATGTGGACCGACCGGGGTTCGATTCCCGGGGCTGGCAGAAACATAATGGGCAAAGTGGCTTTGTTCCTGATGCACCTGTTACCTAGTAGTTAATAGGTACCTGGGAGTTAGACAGCTGTTACGTGCTGCTTCCTGGGTGTGTGTGTGGGTGTGGGTGTGGGTGTGTGTGTGTGGGTGTGGGTGTGTGTGTGGGTGTGGGTGTGTGTGTGGGTGTGGGTGTGGGTGTGTGTGTGGGTGTGGGTGTGTGTGTGTGTGTGTGGGTGTGTGTGTGTGTGTGTGTGTGTGTGTGTGTGTGTGTGTGTGTGTGTGTGTGTGTGTGTGTGTGTGTGTGTGTGTGCGTGAAAATACGGTTGTGAAAGTGAAAAAAATGGGTGTGTAAAAATTAATTAGTAGTAACAGTTGATTGACAGTTGAGAGGCGAGCCGAAAGAGCAGAGCTCAACCCCCGCAAGCACACCTAGGTGAATACATCTAGGTGAATACCTGCCAACACCAGGCACCTTTGTTACCGCTCTCAATCAAGAACTCTAAATAATTAGTCAAGTACCCAGAAAGCTCCATCATGGCGTCGTTCAACAGTCGATCACCACCAACCAGGAGGGTCAATACTGTGTCACTAAAGGTCAAGAACAAGGGGAAGGACAGGTCAATATGCCACCCAGGTCTTAAAAGAAATGACGATATATTAAAAAATAACAAAGTGTCCAATATATGAGGCTTTAAATTGCTGTAAGAGATAAACACACAAATTAAAACTTGCCACCCCATCATTCTCATGTAAGGGTGAATACAGGTTACAACTTAACGTAACCCCAAAATAACTTAGCCTAACACAGCCTAACTTAACAATATGCCCAACAGAAAACGAGCTCCGTCAAGTCGTTATATGGGGGACTTCGCTACTGCTCCGTCGGTATTACTGTAAGGATTAATATCCCGGGTGACAGTACATTATGCAGCTCTACTGTGAGTAATATTCCCATTACGCGAATTGGACATCGATCTAGTTGTAAACTGTTCAGTGTTTCTAGCAGATGTTAATCATATAATTATATTGATTACTCGCTGTATACAGCTGCGTGCTGTGTCCGGCGCTGCCGATAAGAAATAATGGGTTAGATTGTTGAAGATAGAAATGTCTTGTCGTCGTTGTCTTCGTCGATCTGTGGTGGTTGTTTTGACACACACACACACACACACACACACACGCGGGAGGCTGACTACACAGTTTCAAGTGTAGATATGATAGAGCCCAATAGGCTCAGGAATCTGTACACCTGTTGATCCACGGTTGAGAGACGGGACCAAAGAGCCAGAGCTCAACCCCTGCAAACACAACTAGGTGAGTACACACACACACACACACACACACACACACACACACACACACACACACACACACACACACACACACACACACACACACACACACACACCCACACACACACACACACACACACACACACACACACACACACACACACACACACACACACACACACACACACACGTGTGTGTGTGTACTCACCTAATTCACCTAATTGTGCTTGCGGGGGTTGAGCTCTGACCAAAGAGCCAGAGCTCAACCCCCGCAAGCACAATTAGGTGAATTAGGTGAGTACACACACACACCCACACACACACACACACACACACACAACTAAAGCTCCTGGAAATATATTTAATAATATATCAAGTGTTATTAATACGGTTGACAAACACCGGAAGAAGACATCAGAAGGGAAGGAGTCAAATGAGCAACTGCTGAGGTGACCAGGACGAGGCGCCAAGCATCAGTTCCTGGAGACATTTGCAATGAGGTGAAAACTGCGGGATTCGAGTTCATTAACAGTTACATAAATCCACGTATATCCCATTGAAGAACATAGTAAAGAACAAATAAGAGTAAAAATAAAATAACAAATCTAGGGCAAAGAAAAAGGCCACAGGATACTAGGAGGAAATCAGGATCAGGTTCAGCGAAATCAGGGTTTGGGTAATGAGTAAATACATCAGTGATGGTCGTGTGGAGAGCGTGGTAGTGGTAAGCGTGGTAGTGGAGAGGGTGGTAGTGGAGAGGGTGGTAGTGGTAAGCGTGGTAGTGGTAAGCGTGGTAGTGGAGAGGGTGGTAGTGGTAAGCGTGGTAGTGGAGAGGGTGGTAGTGGAGAGGGTGGTAGTGGTAAGCGTGGTAGTGGAGAGGGTGGTAGTGGAGAGGGTGGTAGTGGAGAGGGTGGTAGTGGAGAGGATGGTAGTGGAGAGGGTGGTAGTGGAGAGCGTGGTGGTGGTAAGCGTGGTAGTGGAGAGGGTGGAAGTGGAGAGCATGGTAGTGGAGAGCATGGTAGTGGAGAGGGTGGTAGTGGTAAGGAGCATAGGTAAGGCGACAAGGCCCAGTGAGGAAGATGGTAGTGGTGTTGGTGGTATTTGAGGCAGTCGACGGAGTGGGGCTGAGTAAGGACAGCAACAGTGGAGAGTACTGGCGCTGGGGGCAGCGGCAGATGTAGAGACAACGGCGATGGGAAGTTCTACAGGTCAGTCAACACTATTACAGTGGAGGGTGATGCAGGAACAAGGATAGATGACGGAGCTAGTGCAAGGATTGAGGCCGCCTTACCCGCTTGTGAGGAAGAGAAAGAGAGAGAGAGAGAGGGACCATGTTTACGTTTCTGGTCCAGACAGAGACGTGCCGATAGCAATGTGCGGTAAGACTTTATAGTCTTAGGCGGAAAGAGAGAGAATGATCGTGGATAATACGAAGATGGCTGGGAGGAGGATGGACATCAGCTTAGACGGACATTTGTCGGGGAGAGCCAAAAGGCAGAGAATGAAGAGGGAGGGGGGCTTCGGACCCCCTCTACCGTAGGAGAGGGGGGCCGAAGCAACCCCCACCAGCCCCAGAAGGTGGTACGCAAGCCTCCTCACCACAAGGAAAACCTCTTGAGGATTTGAGAGGTGGAAGAACCCATAGTAACCCTCAGGTAAATGATGCATCACACAAATTAAAGGTTAAACAACAACTGATCCTTGGGAACTTTACCTCGTTAAGTTCAAGTCCATGTAGGTGAGCAGGTACTCCCAACACCAGAGAAATACTGTGGCCATTAGTATACCCATAATTACAAGGTACTAATTGACTTAACCAATCTGTATTGAGTCCGTGTCCTTGTCCAACTAACTAAGGCGTTATCGGGACGTTGCACCTGTACGTTATCTTGAGATGATTTCGGGGCTTTAGTGTCCCGAGGCCCGGTCCTCGACCAGTCTCGACGTTGCTAATTATATAATTTTAATTTTAAAATTAAATCGGGCTAATTTTGCCTAATACGCTATGCGCGCTAGCGGCTTTACAAGAATGTAAAATCATCATTATTATTATGTGCTCTCTTAACCCCCCAAGATACCTTCTTGTATATAAATAAATAAATAAATATATACATCACCCAACCGGCTAGCTGTACCTGGGGCCAGATTCACCAAGCAGTTACGCAAGTACTTACGAACCTGTACATCTTTCCTCAATCTTTGGCGGCTTTGTTTCCAATTATTAAACAGTTGATGAGCTCCGAAGCACCAGGAGGCTGTTTATAACAATAACAACAGTTGATTAGGAAGTTTTCATGCTTGTAAACTGTTTAATAAATGTAACCAAAGCCGTCAAAGATTGAGGAAAGATGTACACGTTCGTAAGTACTTGCGTAACTACTTCGTGAATCTGACCCCTTAATCTTTGAGCAACTTAATCATTAACGTCCAATACACAAAGATGTGTTATAAGGGTCTCCGTAGTGCAGTTGGTTTCGTTTTCAACGCACAATCGAGAACTCAGGTTCTTGTTTTAAAGATTCATCTACTCTGAACAAAAAGTTCCAAGCAGCACGGGCTATGGTGAGCCCGTCGTACTTACCTGGCACAGATGTGCTAAGGAGAATTCCGGACTCGAATCCCTGCCGAGACAGTAATGGTTGGGCATATTTCCTTTTCAGCTAATGCACCTGTTTACCTAGCAGCAAGAAGGTACTCAGGAGTTAGTCAGCTAATTGTGGGGTTGTATCTTGGGAGGGGGGGGGGGGGTGGAAATTCGATATAAGCCTTACATACAGAAATACAGTCTGGCTTCTTGTCCCCCGACAATCAATTTTTATTTTGAATGTTATACCTTGTCTGTGGTGTGGTGTCCCCAAGCACAGCATCTGGTCGTGGGCGTGGGTGAGAGCGTGGGCGTCGTACGGGCCGTGGGTTCTGGTGTTGGCGTGGGCGTGACACGGGTGATGGGCGTGGGTGCTGACGTGTGGGTCATACGGGTCATGGGTACTGGCGTCAGAGTCACGCGAGCCATGGGCGTGGGTGTGGGCGTGGGTGGTGGTGGCGTGGGTGGTGGTGGTGGCGTGGGTGGTAGTGGTTAGCCAAAAATTTGTCTGTGGTTGAGGATCCTCCAGTCTGACTGAAAGTATTTAAATAACATCTGTAGAATATATGTTTGCTTATCAATATGAAGAGACACACATACGGACAATGTCACAATACCGGGGCTGAGAACTGAACGAACACACACACACACACACACAAATAGAGTGGTAGACGGTTGGAACAAGTTAAGTGAGAAGGTGGTGGAGGCCAAGACCGTCAGTAGTTTCAAAGCGTTATATGACAAAGAGTGCTGGGAAGACGGGACACCACGAGCGTTGCTCTCATCCTGTAACTACACTTAGGTAATTACACTTAGGTAATTACACACACACACACACACACACACACACACACACACACACACACACACACACACACACACACACACACACACACCTGAAAACACAGCAATTAAGCGACGTTTTGGTCCGTCCTGAACCATTATCAACTCGTGTAAGGCAAGGAGTCGTAGCGAAAGGAAACATATAAGGTAAGAATGGAAGGTCAAAGGCGAGAAGTGTTAGTAAACTGCACGTCCAGTGTCACTTACCTCTACGTCCAGTGTCACTCACTCCCACGTCCAGTGTCACTCACTCCCACGTCCAGAGTCACTCACTCCCACGTCCAGTGTCACTCACTCCACGTCCAGTGTCACTCCCACGTCCAGAGTCACTCACTTCCACGTCCAGAGTCACTCACTCACTTCCACGTCCAGAGTCACTCACTCACTTCCACGTCCAGAGTCACTCACTTCCACGTCCAGAGTCACTCACTCCCACGTCCAGAGTTACTCACTCCCACGTCCAGTGTCACTCACTCCACGTCCAGAGTCACTCACTCACTTCCACGTCCAGAGTCACTCACTCACTTCCACGTCCAGAGTCACTCACTCCCACGTCCAGAGTCACTCACTCCCACGTCCAGAGTCACTCACTCACTTCCACGTCCAGAGTCACTCACTCCGACGTCCAGAGTCACTCACTCCCACGTCCAGAGTCACTCACTCACTTCCACGTCCAGAGTCACTCACTCCGACGTCCAGAGTCACTCACTCCCACGTCCAGAGTCACTCACTCCCACGTCCAGAGTCACTCACTCACTTCCACGTCCAGAGTCACTCACTCCGACGTCCAGAGTCACTCACTCACTTCCACGTCCAGTCACTCACTCACTCCCACGTCCAGAGTCACTCACTCACTCCCACGTCCAGAGTTACTCACTCCCACGTCCAGTGTCACTCACTCCACG